ACCCTGAGGACCTTGACGGTTCACCTCTCAGATAGCTTCGGACTTCGACATACATTCCAACCCCCAATTCTTTCTTGCGAAGTCACCTTGAAAAAAAAAAAAAAGAAAAGAGAAGAGAAGAAAACGAAATGCATCAACATCCTCGTCCTCCGCCGACTACGGCGGCGTCTGCCAATTCCTCCAGGGCCAACCCAGCTCGCACAAACAACCCTCTGGGTCCAAGTGCAGAGTCGAATACATCACAAGCTGAGGTTGGTCCCATAAACACTACTGCAGGACTTGGGATTGAGCATGAAGCTGAAATGTTCGTGCAGGTCCCATCTAATGTAGCTCCTGGCAGAGAGATCGTCGCCAAGTTAAATCAGATCGTTCAAGTGAGTTGTTACACTAGTTTTCATGTCTGACATAATGGATGTGTGTATAAATGCTGAGTCTGTCTTCTTTTTTCTTATCATAGCAATATCATACGAAGGCTGCTTTGATCATACTGCACTCCCGAGTCGATCTTCCCCCCGCGTACAACAAAGATTCGGATATAAAGAGGGTAAATAGATGGGTACGTGGTTGTTTTATTTTGTTTTTCTAGTTCTAAACCTATATTTCCTAACTTTAGAAATAATATAATAACGATTGGACTCCGCTGGTATAGTTTAATGTTGAACTGGAGGAAACCGATGTTCTTCGAGATGACCTACGGACGTGGAAGTCCTGTGACACCACCGACCGTCGCCCTCCACCGATGGTTATTGAGACCTACCTTGATCCGGATGAGTTGACACACAACCAGAGCCTGGTGATTCTTGATGGCCATGGGAAACGCTGGGATGTTCTCGAAGCTCTTGATGCCTCGTTTTCTTACAAGGGGTCTCAGGATACTAGATATAGTAGAGTCATTCTAGAAAGGTGGAAAGTTGAGCTTGGGGATGCATCAAGTGATCTACCCGCCGATCTCGGCTCTATACTCCCAACTCTCTACAAGAAAAGCATCGTACTCTTTAGATCTCTTTATACGTATTCTCGCTTCCTCCCTGCTTGGAAATTCTCCACACGCCAATCAACAATGCGATCGAACCCGAGCCTGCCTATCCGCTATAGAATATACAAAGGGTCCCGGTCAGAAACTCATCCGGGGCTCGACCCTTTGAGCGTCCCGTTCTACGATGACGCTGGTAAAACCACGGAGACTTTCGTCTTCGGCGTCACTGAATCACCTGCAGGCCCATTTTCCGTTCAAGTAACATATCGGTTGAACTGTGATTTCAGGGTAGATGACTCCGAAGCGTTATTGAGTTCTAGGTTCATGGGAGCGGACGACACATACTTTAGACCCTCTCTGCCCACTGAGGATCACTTCCCCGGCGGAACAAACGAAGCTGGATCCCTACCTGTTGCTAGACGAGAAAATGAGCGACCAAACAATGCCCAAGCCTATGGAAGTTTATCGACTTTCCATCATGAAGTTCCTGCAACGGGGGTCAGTCCATTATCAGCCCTTCGCGCGGCTAGGGAGCTTGGAGCTGGGTTGTCTGGATCTCCGATATCACCTCCTTCGCCCAAGCCTGGACAGGCAAGGCCAGGTATCTACCCTCGAGACGGTGTCCATTCTGCCCAAAGAAAACCTTCGATTTCATTCCCCCCTTTCAAAGCTCCACCTCTTTCCGCGTCTCCGTCGCTTGCAGATCCTGCCGTTGGATCCCCCCGAAGTGCATCTGTTCGCACAGGGCCAGTGAACGTCCCTTCCGATAGCAAGACCATGCCCCCTCCTGCTAGTGCTGCATCTGTCACACGAAAATCTACTTATGTTTCCTCTGACAACGCCATTGCCTCGTCAGGGTCTGGCTCCCCTCGACCTGCGCCTATCTCCAAGTACACCAGTTCTTTCACTCATCGAAGAGGGAGATTGTCATCTGGTGGAATAAGCAAAACAGATGATGATAATACCTCGAGCGGAAGGGCTAGTGCTACGTCGTCCACCGCCCAACCTAGCTCCGGAATCATTGCGGAACCGGGAGGTGCCAGTTCTGGCTCTTTGCACGGAGATGAAAGTAATATCGGGGAATTCCTCAAGATGCTTGACATGCGAAAGGATTTACTAAGCCCATCCGATCCCGCTACCATGGATGCATCAACCCGGAGGACTGCGGTTGCTCTCACGCGATTTCAAAAGATGAAGGAGTCAAACGCCGTGTTGTCTGATTCCATGTCGTCTTCACTCGTACTCCACCGGTCATCTACCTCGTCAAGTAGGCAGCTCCCCAGTGTTCCACCCATGATTGCTGGCACATCGATCTCGACAGCTTCGTCTCCAGGAAAACCAATTTCACCGCATACGCCACATACGCCTGCCATTCCCTCCCGTCTCAGCTCGAACAGTATAATTGACTACTCCCACCAGGATCGTCCAGACAACCGACGCCACCGCCTTTCTCATGAATCACACGGATCGATGCTGGAGGAAGCACCCACCGAAGAAACCACAACGGAACCCACCGCACCTAATTCTAACGCCAATGCAATTGACATCCCCACATCTCCTCGCCCGTTCATTCCTAGCTATCGACGTTCCAGTTCTGCTGCTCAAAGAAGGTCAAGTGCAGCCCTCGAGGATGAGACAGCCGATTTCCTGCCTTTCGGAATGAGAAGTCTAAGCCTCGGAGCTGAAGATAGATCACCTCTCAGCCTGAGCGCTCTGGTACGCCAACAAGAGCTGGACAATGATGCCGCTGCACCTGATATGCTCCAAACCACCCAACGTGTGTGTGACGACTCCAACAACTCTGACGACGTTTCCACCTCAACTAAGTACCGTGCACCCAGCACCACCTCTAATCATCCATACCAGCCGCGATTCTCACATCAGCGCGGCCGAGGCTCCACAGGACATGCCCATTCGCAAAGCTCAGTATCCAGCAGTCTAGGGCGCGGGAACGCCCTTCCCTCATCCCACGGGGCTGAGCGTGATCGGGACGCCTACCAGGGCAGCGGCAGCAACAGCGGCATGTCCACCAATACCGACTCACGCCGTGGGCTGGGCAGCGGCGGTGGATCCACACAACGGTTCAGTTTCACCCGCTACCATGGCCCACCATCAGCCAGTAATTTGGAAGACGATGAACCGCTTCTCTTTACCATGAGTGATTTTGGTATTGCGCGGGGTAGTCTCGATGGTGGGGGGAGGGGCAGTTTAAGTGGGGCTGATTCATCAGGTCCTGGTACCGGTATTAGTGGGTCGAGACGTGGAAGTGGACGACGGGGACCTTCGAGCGGTAGCGGGTTTCATGCTTGGCAATAATTGAAAGAGAGGCGGACACTATTCAATAATGTTTCTACGTCCGTGTATAGCTGCGAACAGCGGCCGCGGAATTGTTTTTAAAGACTGTCACGAACGAGGAAGCAGAAGAGTCCTGGAACCCCCTCTTAAAAGCCGGAACTACTCATCACTTGCACTTGCACATGTGTACCCCTAACCTACCCGCCCTACGCTGTGCCATCCATCTCGGATATATATTCCAATTTTTCCACCAACATTTCTTTTTGCTGACGCGAGTTCAATGTCTCCAGCTACACAACCAACCCAAACGACACTCATAACCAACTCGATTGGACCTTCAATCATCTCTCCATCATGCATATAACATGCGTGCGCGGCTGTAGATTCCAGCTATATAACCACTATCCCACCCTTTTTATTCTATCTTCGATATCATTCATCATACGTTTTCTCTTTTTGGAGGTTTGCTTGGCCATTCGGTGTTTCTATTTTCCATTATCATTTTCCATCTATTCTGAAACTTATCTAGAATTCCCCTTTCTCTCAGTACCAACAAGCGGCGCTTTCATTTCATTTCATTTCTATTATGTGTGTTTTGTGATTTTAATCACATAATAATTGGATTTCTCAAGCCATTTCTGTTTTTTTAAAGCTCTCTATCAGACCAGCTATTGCTCTTGTTTTAATTTTTAGCTGATTAGCTGTGTTTTTGTGACTTTTTGTGACTTTTTGTTTATGATCACTCATACTGGCTGGCCTCTTAGCATTTTCCTTTTACTTCATTTGATATCTCTGATATAGGAGATGAGAGAAATGGGAATGAAGATGAAGAATATCAAGCCGTAAGGCGCAAAGTTTGAATATATTTCATATATTATATCTTTCATTATATATCTTATATTCTGTTTTCCACTCCTCTCATTTTACTTTTTAATCATTTTTTCTCTTTAACAAAAAAAATTCCTCTCTTCACAGGTTTTTTTCTTCTCATGGTTATCTAAAACATGCAGCTTTGTTTTTTTTTTTTTTTTTTAATGATGGACTTGATTGAATGACAGTCACGCTGTGATTTTTTTGTTTGGTAGAGAGGAGTATCTAGGTAGAGAAGAGAGAATTCAAAACATAACATTTTATTTATTCTGTCTCACTCTTGATTGATGTTGTCTGTATATTTGTTTTTTATTGTTAATCAGACAGCCTTCTCAATTCTTTCTATCTACATAATGTTCAAAGCTATATATATATATTATTACTGAGAGGATTAGAGAATAATTATCTCTCTACTCATGCTCTTTTTATCTTTCTCTATGCTTTTTTATTTATTTCCATCTGTGTTTTGTAATACATGCTTTGCCTCAGTTTATTAAATTATATTTTCTATAATTACAAGAGACTGAAATAAATACACACTCTTGTCAGATGAGTTTCTCATCTTATATATCATCTTTAAGAAGAGATTTAAAATATTCCTCACTATCAGTTGAAATCTTCATCTCCCTTCTATTTTTTATTTTTATTTTTATTATTTTTACTACCTTTTTTAAGTGCAGCTTTCTCTGGTACCATAGCTCATGTATGTACGTACTTACAGTACATATTTAACTATCTGTATTACAAGACTCATCTGCCTTTACTCATTTCTATCATACCTGACTGAGGAGGCTCAAATTCAAGGCATTCCTGAAACCGCGCAGCAGCTGTAACTCTTCGGCTTGAATACGCCATCAAGTTAACTCCCGAGACTGGGAGGCTTTGCAGAGTTGATTTGAGCCTGTTTACATGTGGGATCAACTAACACCATCCAGCCACTACGATAAACAGATTTCGTCTCGCCGCAGTTCAGTTCTACATATCAATTCCAGCAGCTACATAGTTAGTTATATAGTACCGCTAACTATCATCTGGGACTTCCGCAGTACTCCTGGGAATACTTATACAGGAACGTACGATGATGGAGGTTTTGTTTTGAGGGGGGGAATTGGTGGGAGAAGAGGGTAGGTTCTAGTATTTTTTTAAAAAGAAAACTTTTTTTGTTATTGTTTATTTAATAATTCAAATACTCGAGGTGTGTTAAGGAATATTTGACCACCTACTTCTCATTTTCATCTGAATATGTCTGTGAGTACTGTGCTGTCTTCTATATGAGCATTAACAAAATCATCTTAGAATATATGATCACAATGAATTTCATTAACAAAATAATGCTATGAAATAATATATATTGCAAGAGTCATCTACTCTGTGTATAGACAGTGGTAAAATCAACTGTCACAGCACTGGTATTCTTATCTCAGTGCTCATCAGTGACATCATTGTCATCTTCATCACAAGCACACACAGCTGTGCAAAGAGCATCAGTGATTATCACACTATGTGAGCATTTATCTGAAGATGAGCTTATATTTTTCACAGATTTATGCTGTACTGTGCTGTGCTGTGCTGTGCTGTGCTGTGCTGTGCTGTGTTCTGTAGATTTAGAAACAAATATTCACTCATTTCTTGTTTCTCTCTTTAATTCATTCTCTATCATTCATATAGTACATTACATAGCACTGTATTAAGTCCTATATAATTCTATCCTCTCTCTTTCTCTTGGAGCTATTAATGATGCTCCTTACAGAGCACACCCAAACAGCACAATGACTTTGGCAAAGACCCTGTTGATCTAGTTGCCATGCAGAAAGAGACATCTGCAGTGGAGACGCCAGAGACGGATCTCGTCTATGGGACCGACGGCCGCCTGATGTCGTTGTAGGCGGATGCGGTGGAGCAGGCATCTGCTGCTGCCGCGGATTATCCGCTCTGAAGGTGGGGAGATGAGTTTGTTTTACAGGTTCGAGTTAGGGGGATGAATGGATTGGATCCCCTGGACGGCGGTGACGTCTCACAGAAATAATTGTGGTCCCGTTGCTCCATGATAGTCTTGAGTTGATCTTAGGTGGTAGTTGATTTTCTGTAATGAAGAGAGCATTCTCCAGCATTCAGAACTGCATTTCCATGGCTCCTTCGCCGTGCCAGGGCATATAACAAAAAGTGGCGCGTATGGCGGTGAAATTAAGTAATTTAATCCATATTTATCAGCGGTCTCCCCTCTAAATTGGAAGCAGAAGAGGACGTAGAAATGGAGTAAATGCATCAGAGAAATGCTGCTTATAGTACCTCGCCAAAAGGTTGGAATTTTTGGTTATCTAGGTACGACCTGGACACCGATCCTGCTCATATATACTCCGTACGTCTATAGTATTTTTGTTTCCCAACATTCAGCGGGAAATGGGAGATCAAGGTATGAGGCACAGAGAACGTGTTATTTTTGCATGGAACTGCGTATTATCCAACGAGTTTGGCAACTGGTCCATGGGCAACGAGGAATAGAAATGGTGATTCCGACTAGGCAAATTTAGGAAGCCGTTGAGAGGAATCCCGGGCGCTGAAGAAGCAACCCGTGTGGACAAGCCTGCATCACGGCACTATGCATTTTTCATGCATTCAAGGGTGTACAACTATAATTTCCGTTCCGAAGAATCTTTCGAGCGCCGAGATTAGGTCTGCGTAATTAATGCCTCGAAGATTTCGGCGATCAACCCTATTACAGCCCCTGAAACACCTCGTACTGTTGTAACACGAGAAGTTGATAAGCAGAGTAACAGAACACGACGATTAGTAGAAAAGAAGGAAAGGTATTGTATTATCTTCCTCACACGGACGAAACACGCGATCAGTTAACAATTCCAATTGTCCTATCTCCAGTCCACGTTTTATGTGGATCATAGTCATTGTGGTAGCCGTTGTTATCTAGACATTTTCCAGATGCAATCATCCCATGGAAACATTTGTCTAAATTGCTGTGAACAGGTATCTGACTTCCTGAATCCAGCAGTGCTTGTGTATCCTAGAGTGTATGTAAGCCCGCGCTTTGGGGTAGGGGTTAAATAGGTCAGTGGCCTGGAAGCGGAGCGGGAGCCATCGGGCTTCGTTATTGGCCAAAAACATGTAGCGCATGTTAGAAAGGCATGCTCGAAATTTGATGTTCTTTGTTCTTACAGGCCGTTTGATGTTTGCGCAATAGCTAACGGCTGATATCACGGCCCATAACGTGATACATTGATGTTGTGTTCCGTGTCGCCCATTGGTAGCATCAACCTCGGCGAGATTTCTATTCCGGCGATTTAAATATATATTTGACTGGGCCCTCCCCGCGTTCCTTGGACACAAAAATGGTCTGGCCTAGACTTATAGAGCGTCGAACAAAAACGGGAAGTTCTGGGGGTTGCTCCATTCCTGCTATCGATCCTTGTCCAAAATTTCCAAAAGGAATATTGAACAGCAAGTCGGTCACTTCTACGATTCGCGAGCCATTGAATCATGTATCAGATATCGTTAGAGGTCTGTCAAATAACCGGTTAGTTATGATTTCACTACTGCAACAGATGACGCGGTTAAAAGGCGACAGGGGTGGGTGCTTTATGAGTGAGATTTGATACCGAGGTACGACAAAACAACATCGTACTTTTGCAGAACAACAACAATATTGCTCCTACGGTGGATACATTTAGGTTTAATAATAGTAAACCGTTGGACATGGCTGAGTATCCGGAGAATTTGTGGACGGGAGATCGACGGTCGGACGTAGAGATGTGGTGATCAGTGAATAATTGACATCATTCATGAGGCGGTCTCATTCAGGGCCAGGTATTAAATCCATGGTGGTTCAATACTTCCATTCTAGTAATACGCCCTTGCTGTTGAAATAATGGAGTTTATCGCCACAATAAATTTCTGGCACATGAAAATGTCACTATACCAGGGGGGTGTGGCTTTTTCAATGTCAGAAACTGGAACATGCCGCGCCGCTAACTCCATCCTGGTAGAAGCCATGTTGACATGCACCAAGACAACTCCCAGAAAAAATTTTAGCGTGATGTGAATATATGAACGGTTGTAACTGCGAAGAAGTTGCATGAAGAAATCTCCAGCGCTCCCTCTTCATCCTCGCTTGTTCGTAAACTGGGTATGAATACGAAAGCCCCAACGACGCAAACCGATGCCGAAAGTGGCCGACATGGAAGATATCATTTCATAGAATGAACCATCCACCCCGCCCTCGATAGTAAGTTTTGAAGCATGAATCCTTGTGGGGTGTAACTTGGCCCGGATTTCCTAACGGTATTGGTAATGAAAGCCGCGGCTGTATTCTTGGCCGGGTACCATTTATGGCTTCTTCCAGTTTCCGTGAAATCCGTCGAAAATAATTATTGACTGTTAAGTCAACCAAGAGAGCGGTGTGTATGCGCCATGAAGAACCAGTTGAAGAACAGACACGCGCGTTTCGCGCATGGAGCCGCCTCTTCCCTCAAACGACACGACATTGCGACCTGCAACAGAGCGTCCTTTGACTATTTCCGACCATAAATCTGGTATGAGGTAATGAACACACTGGCAATTGTGCACGGGACGGATGTTGAGCCATGTTCAACCTGAAGTGACAAGGGTCAGAAGAATATTTCCCCACCGCAGTGGTCAATCCTTGTCGGTGCCATCTTACAACCCTCAAAATAAACTACTCTGTATCGCCCCTAAAAGTGTCTAGTAGGAGAATTGAGGTGAGTGGCCACCTGGCGTATGTCCATATTATGCTTGTATATAAATATATTCCGCCTTCCCACTTTTTAAAACAGGTAGAATCAACCTTAAATCACCTCGTATTTCAAACATCAACCCTGGATAAAATTGGCAATAATATAATAATATAAAACGCACCATTACCACTTATTCCCTTCCTTGGACAAGATTTGATCGCGACTGCAATGAACGGGATTGAGGGTTATGCTGCAGCCAATGGTGGTCCGAGTCGGGCTCGGGTGGCGCCCGTGAAAGTGCTCTGTCTTGGGCCTCCAAGAGCAGGGGCAAATTGTGCGTTAAGATCGTACTGTCGAATGTGATCGCGTGCTAACGGAGTCTCATCTGTGCAGCGATCCACGCTGCCCTAGGGATGCTGGGATATCATGACATATACTATTTCACGTCATCTATCAATGACCGAACACGAGATACACAAGCATGGCTCGAAGCATTTGACACAGTATTTGAAGGGAAAGAGACCTTCAAGAAGGGGGATTTTGATCGTTTATTCGAAGGCTGCCAGGTGAGAAACAGAGATCACAATGGAATTCTTTGGTGATGCCCATCTGACACTCAGCTGCTGGTAACTAGGCTGTTGTTGGGCGCCCATGTTGTGCGTTTGCCCCACAGTTGATTAAGGCATACCCGGAGGCAAAGGTAATCCTGAACACGCGTGATGTTGATGAATGGTACATGTAAGTCACCGCTGGGTTCCTTTGCCTGTTTTCCTGTTATCAAAGGCGCTTCTCCAGGGAGGCCTTTCGGCACTTAGAAGACATCATTGACTTACGTAACCAGGTCCTGGGCCAAGCTCATCAAAGCGAAGATGGCCCAAGAACAAAAAGAAAGTAAAGTGAATCCTGATATTGAAGATCCGCAGAAATTAGCTGCAAAAATGTTGCGGGATAAAATTTTGTATGCTTTCTTTAGAGGCGATTTCTTAAATACGGCAAAGGCGGCATTCAAGACCCATTTCAATGAAATCTGCGAGCTCGTACCAAAAGACAAGCTGTTGATATATGATATCAAGGAAGGGTGGAATCCTCTGTGTGAATTCCTTGGGAAACCTGTTCCCTCGGAGCCATACCCTGGACATGATAGTTTAGAAGTTTTCGGAGAAAAGGTGCCCAGTCAGGCCAAGGGAAAAGCAGGGGAACTGAAGCCGCTCCACCACGCCGTGGTGGCAGCACCAAAGGGAGCTGGTGTTGAAGCTTAGAAAAAGCCTGGTGTCAGAATCGCTGTATGAATACCCGTTTTATGATGTGACAAAAATTGAGTTTCCTGGCTATTTCTGCATCTAATTCTATTCACCATAAATAGTTTGGCTAAATGTTGTTAAACTAGGGTAGAATTATTAGTCGCCGCAGGATACGTGACAGAAAGTTAGAATAATGATGAATATATCTTCATCTTACCAGGAACACATTTTAGCGTATTCATTATGGAGGCGAGGTTTCAATTGCATCTATTGACTTGAGGATGAGCGGTTACGGTTGTTGTTGACAGCTGAAGAATGAACTTATTTAGATCCGCGCCGAGGTTCATTATTTAAATATTGCATGGATCGATCCCGTAACTCACTCACTGGCCGACACATCAACTTCGACATCAAACAATTAAAAAACACAATTGCAGAGAATAGCCGGTGCATTCTTTGTTTTGATATATTGTGCTTCTCTTGCTCTTAGTGACTTGCCCACCAATAATAATACCCTTTGCCAAATACCGTCACAGTAGCCGCATCATGACGTACCGAAACCTCACTCTTTCCCGCATCCCGAACGCCCCGTCCAACTCATCGACTGCAAAGGACGACCCCCAAATATACCTGATTACTCTCCAAAAGGCTCCCGAGAATCGCATTGCGACCGCCTTTGCGCAGGAGATTATCCGCGCTTTGCGAGATGTGGAGCGCATGGTTGACGCTGCCGGGAAGGACGAGCGAGGAGCTGGGGTAGGCGCGGCGGTGATTATACGGGGGGAGGGGGAGAAGTTTTGGAGTACGGTTAGTGCTTTTCGGGTGGAATTTAGAATGGAATGGCTGGAGAACTGCGGTTCTTATTTATTTTGAGATATGCGTTGTAAATTGTTTGATTTAGCAATATCTACTGCTTTGAAAAAAAGTTTTGCGATTTAGCAACTATGGAGAAGTCTAACTTAAAAACGAGCTGTATTTGTTGATTGCAATAGGGCTTGGATCTGGATGAAGCAGAGAGGAACCCTTTCTCAAATACAGACGGCTACTTTCCGGTTAGTTCACCTCCCTAGCCAGCACCGTAAGCGGTGACGAATATGATATTTCCCTCCGACTAATCCTATATTCGATGCCAGCTCCTACATACGCTTCTCGACTACCCATATCCAACAATAGCCCTGCTGAACGGGCATACATTTGGCGGAGCGTGTCCACTAGCCCTTGCGCACGACTATCGAATCATGAACTCCCGCCGTGGATTTTTCTCCATGCCGCCCGTTAACATCGGCGTTCACTTTCCTGGAATCGGATCCCTAGCACATCTGAAACTCCGTCCAGAAATTGCGCGAAGGATGTTGCTAGAAGCACATAAATGGACAGGGAAAGAGGCGCTGGCGGACGGAATTGTAGATCAAATAGCCGAACCAGGGGATATGCTGGATGCCGCCATTGAAACCGCACGAAAGTGGGCACCCAAGGCGAAGATGGGAGTGTATGCCGTGTTGCGACAGGAACTATGGGGCGAAGCTGCTCGGATCTTCCAAAGCATCAGCTACGTCCATCACCGCAGGACTGTTTTGCCTCCCAAGGTGAAAATCTGACCCCATGTTACATAATGTAATATCATATAACATTATCCCACACAAGAAATATATTGCCAGATTATGCACAAACGATGCACACAGCCGTTCGTTTCCAATCACATTCTACGGAACGTGTTGCCCGATGCGCTCCTACGATCCTTTGAGTGTTTCGAAGATCCATTACTTTCAGGGACAATTGCCGGCTTGGGGCGAGATTTTGGCTGGGGGGCAAATGTGACTATCTTTTCTCCCACTGCAGTATTCTTGGACGGGCGCTCTTTCGTTCGTGACTTATGTACCCTTGACTCAAAGGACCTATCACGCGCTTGAGTAGTTTTAGTTGACGATGATACTTGCATCCGTGGAGGACGCTTGGTCTTTCTGTAGGAGACTGTAGATATGCGGCCAGAAGCCTTGGCTTTGGCCGGCTTTTCATCTTCGCTCGACTCATCATCCTCGGAGCTAGATGCAGGCACCTCATCAATAGCCTCCTCTTCGACGGCAGTTAACCCTCTCTCCGGTCTGGGATCAGTAGTTGTAACCGCAGTGCTTGGGTTTAATTCACGGAATTCCCTCGATGTCTCATCGACAGCGAAGTCTTCATCCTCGAACAGCTTAGCGAATCGAGAATCGGTAAGCGGGTTGTCTGAGCGGCTGGGTTGAGAAGGCTTAGCTTCAGCAGCATCGGCCATTTCCTCATCACCGCCATGCTCCAGAACACGCTGAGCTCGTCGTCGCTCATTCCGGTCTTCTCTCTCAAGAAACTTCTCCGCAAGTTTCTTATTCACCTTCACCGAGATCTTCTTTTTGCCCCGGATCCGACTTTCGCGTTCTTGATCGATTTTCTCCTTCACCCGTTTCGCTCTTTCTTCTTCCCAAACAAACGGATTGGAAATTAACCGCGCCTCCTCGTATAGCCTTTGCGCAACGAAGTATCCATGCATGTAGGGCCGTAAAAGCGTAGTTCTGCCAATCAAATGGTCCAGGTTGAGACTCCGTAGTTGTTGGACTGTCAAGAACTTAAAATTATCATAAACAGAGCCCGCTTGGCCAGTAAAGGCGTGAGGATCGTTGGGATCCTCAGCCATTTCCTCCACAATGTTATCTAGGAACGCACACCATTGCGGGGCGGGTCCAAGCTGGGGAATAAAGAATGCGTGTTGCTGTCGCCCTTCGTTGGCAGTTAGAAGCATACCGCTGTCTTTACACCAGGCCACGCTATTTATATCAACTGCCGGTTCCACGGAGGTCCAGGGCTTTCCATCCCGAGCGTCCCATATCTTAATAATCCGCTTATCTGAAGTGAGGATCTTGGGCTCCAAGGTTTGTTCACGCGTTGCAATCGTTGGAGTGAGGAAATTAATGGTGTGGATCGGATATCCATATCCTTGGTCCTTTTTCAAGAGCGGTGTTGGGGATCGGAGGTCGAACAGGTGCACAAGGCCTTGGGAAGACCCAGTAGCGAGCGTCAATCCAGATCGATGGAATTCAAGGGCGGTGATCTCTGATTTAGTCTCGCTAAGCTGGGAGTCCGAAGGTGGGACCAAAATGCCTGCCCTGGCTCTAGCTCTCGGATCCCATAGCTCCACAGTTCCAATGGATGTTCCGAACGCGAGAAGGTTGTGACTCTCTTCAGCAATTGCGGCAGTGTTCACGCTGCCAGTGTTGATTCCCCCTTGCAGGGCTCCGCCACCAGCAGAAGAAAAGTCATCACCACCAACCTCAACTTCATAGGATTTCATGTACCGCCCTTGTTCTAAATTCAGCCTATACACTTCGCCCATGCCATCTTGATTAACACCGACGGATGGTATGAGCGCTTCCGCTGATTGTCTGTCGTATATCAAGTCACGACCATACCTGGGCAATCGGGTGGTGTAGTGGCAACCCGAGGGAGTATGAAACTCTAATGATCGATCTGCCTGTAGGTGCAAGGATTTTGAATAATCTGACGACAATAGTAGAAATGTGGTATTCAAGGAAACGGTGTGACGAGCAAAGGAGAGCGATAAATGCGGTAGGTAATGGGTATGTATCTGCGGCTTGTATGTGCCTGTTGTTTGTTATAATCAGCGAAATTGTCCTTTGCGTAAATAGAAAACCCGGGGCATACCGGTACTCATAACCCATTGACCATCCTCACTAACACGGATACATTGACTGGCTTCCTCGAACTCGAAGTCTTGGAGAAGCTCAACCCTGTTGGCGTATTCTGGGTCTTTCTTGAGGCTTCGCTTCCGTTTTCTAGCAAGCCATTCTGGAAGCGGTCTGGCGGTTGAGGAACCGGATATAGTGTACACAGGGACACTGGAGGAATTTGACAGCTTCATAGCTGCAAGACTTTGAATAGTTCCTCCAAATCCACGAAATGTTGAGTATTATTTCAGATGTCCAACAAAATCCGCAATTTCGATTGTTTAACTTGAAAAAAAGTTGAATTAAACTGTTTGACTTAGAGGCAAACATACCAAGAGATCCATTCGTAGGGAACTAACTAGCCCGATTTGGCTGCGGCTCTCCCGGGCGCCAAGCTTTGATGCTCTGGGGAATCTCCGTTCAATATCAAACCCGCAACCGGGTTGTTGCGTCTATGGAAGAAATGGACCATGTTCAAGGCCACCTCTTCTATTGCATAGGATTTCCACATCCAATATGTCTGTTGCCGGTCCCATATAAAGACTGTCTCTATCGTCACTTCAATTTTGCGCGGCTTGGCATCCTTCCACAATATCCAACAAACCACGACAGGCCCGATCTGTATAGATCGCCGTCTAACCCAGCAGAGTATTTGACCCTAAGCTTAGTGTATGCATCATTATCATACTTTCGATATGCATCTTGACCTAGTGGTATTACTCCATGAAAGCCTTTCTATGCCGTTGGCCAACTGAGGGTTTTTCCCAACGTCTCCAGGGACTTGCCCCTCATGGATTTCCCAGCAGGTGCGCTCACAAACTTCCGAGTTATTGTAAGTGAAATTGTAGGCTGCGCCTGTTGTTCTATGTTTACTAATAGTCACGGGAAGGACGACTTCTTCGATATATTCTGGAGAATCTACTCCATAGTAGCACCGGAATCGGACGGGTCACAGTTTGGGCCCGTGGAAAGCTCAACTCTGAGGAACTCAAACGAAATATGGAGTTCCTTATTTGCCTTGCGAAATGCAGGCTGTCTTGTTTCACAGTTGGCTGATAGACCCGAATTATGGATATTTTCCGCCAGCCCAGACTTTGATGCCCTGGCGCGGGCGTCAGGGAACCACCAGCCTCGCGAGGGTCTGATTGTTGCTGGGAATGCAACATTCCTAAGTATAATTTCCATATCTATTGCGTTTTACATATGGCACACACTAATTTCATGAATCAGACGTCGCATCTGGTGTTAACACAGCAGCGGAGATCAAACAGCATCTACTATCTGGTCCTAGTTCCAGCATTTTTAACGGTGCGGCAACGCAGAATAGGTTATCACCTCACGTCGGTGAATATTCACAGTTGCAAAACCTTGCAACTTATTCTGCTTTCCATGAGGCTCTTTTATCTTCTATTTCCAAAACTGTCACCCTCCAATTCACAAGACAACAAAAGGTAGTTCCACTTGGGACTCGAACTCTCTACGCTTCTCTCAATGAGAACGAGTATCAAGGCGGAGAGGATTCACCACTTGCGCGAAAGTCTACACCATTCCTTTCCACCCTTGATATAAACCTGACATCTAAAGGTAGACTCGTTATCTCCCTTAGCACTCTCCCGCAGCCCGGATTGGAGCAGTTACATCATGATTCAGAATCTGATATAATTGCTACCCGCCTGAACGATGATGTCTGGCTAGCGCCTTCAGGGACGCTGTGTAGGCTCACGTCGACTAGCGAATATCAATCGAGTCTATCAAATGTGGTTTCCCCAGATCCTATGGGAACCACTCCACACCATGCTGAACTGCCAGCTGACAAAATAAATGCTAATAAACGAGAATGGAAGAAAAATGTGTCTGAATGGCTCAAAATGTTTGGCCTGCACCTAAACAACCCGGAATCGGAGTTTTGGGTTGAAGTCGAAGTTAACGTATCAGACCGACCGTTTTGTGACCTGTTTTCCAAATCAGCGTTGAATCACCAAAAATCGTCTCCTTTTATCCGAATTTTATGGCCCGGAAGACTATGTTTCACTAGGTCGCGGTCTAAGTTGACCGCCCCTGCCAATCCCACTGAGTTCTTCTCCGGCCAATCTGAGAGCCCATTGCAATTCGCGGAAAGATGGGTCAAAGAGGTTTGTTGGATCAGCCAACCCATCGATAAACATAAATCCTCGGACGATCAAAGTGGGCTCGAAAACCAACAGCTCAAACGCTCAGAACCATCTCCCCTGAGACTTGACCGTTCAGACATGCCAGAAAGCTTAGCAAGGACTATTAACATGCCAGAAGCACAACTTGCGAGCGCTGTATATCCCACCCCACCAGGTGGTGCACTCGCCCAATATATGGGAGCAGGCAGCATATCTGAGAGACTTGGAACATCTACCATTGACACATTAAGTTACGCACCTACCCAAACTGAATCAATCTATAACGAGGCGGGTGGACCCACAACATATTTTCGTGGGAATTCAGAGATTTTGCCAACCGCCTTGGACCCGGCGTCATCCGAACTTGGAATTGGATCGGGTCTTTATGATACTGCGGCTGACGAAGAATTTTTTGGGGATATGGATGTCGCGAACTTCGACACCAAGGGCATTACGGAGGCAGATTTTAACTTTTTCGATGAACCCGACTTTACTGGACTGACCGACAATCTTGATATGCAAACCGAGGAACCAGAGTTAGCGCAACAACATGCCGAATCGAATTTAGCTACACCATATAATTCTAATACTGCAATGTCGATAGCAGAACCTAACCCATCAAACACTAATCAGGGTCACCTCATAACAACTAAAAACGGGAATGGCAGAATCAAACACTCTGGCGTCAGCCCCTTGAATACAACCGCAGCCGAGGGTCAAATATCCGAGGGAATTACTCAGCCCCGTCAGCTTATTCTAACAGATGGCCTCAGGAGGCGGCCAATGAGTCCGCCTCTTAGCCCGGTTCAAATCAAAAAGATCTTGTCTCCTGACGTATCGTCACCTCTACCTTCGAAACCATTGAATTCAAAGATCTCTAAATCGTGTCCAGCAAAGAATCAGTATAGTCCCGTCATATTTCAGCCGACACTGTGGACCTCGGACAAAAAATATAGAATGGATGGAAGATTTTGGTTCACCCCTGGAAGTCAACATATAACACGTAACTTGCGAAGCTATCCATCTGATATCCCAACGATTGGCTTTCCACAAAAAGGAAAGAATGTCAGACCGAAACCTCCGTCAATCCATACATCATCTGGCCCTCTTGTCTCTGATAACGCCCCAGAGATAGACTTACAATCCCCATCAACATCATCCTATGGTTCAAGCGATTATGACAGCGACACAGATCGTGGATCGAACGCAAGTTCACCGCATATTATACAATTTCACTCGAAGAGAAAGCGTGATTCTGAAGGTGGTGGAAATTCTACGCCATCACATTTAGAAAGGCTTACACAAGCCTCTGATGTGGACAATGGGACCCTTAATGAACATGAACTCGCGTTATTAAGTATTTTCATCTCTGGAGCAGTCGACTGGCCATTAGCGGGATACTTTTCCAGAATACAAAACGACGTGTTTCCAGTGTTTTCGCGAAGAGAAGATCTCCTCCAGACAGCGCAGTTGGTTGTTGACCAAGTTACTCAATCAAGCTTCTGTCATGTCCATGATGATTTATATATGCCGGAATGGGTGGACTGGGACGATGTACTGTCACAAAGTTTATTTGACAACACCGATGGCTTGGGTCACATGTCTAAATTGGATTTGAGAAGTTACACAACTTTGGAAGACGGCTCTAATCCGCGGAAAGAAGTCCCTTCTATCAGGCCAAGTATTCCCGGTTCTATATACAAGATATCCTCCCCTCATGTTAAAGTTCACCGCGGAAACAGCTATTTGGAAATTTTACCGCCTGCCATCGGCTTCTGGGAGACATTTGGACTAGAGCCACTCCAAGGGGAAAAGAATATCATACCCTTTTGTATTTACCCCCCAAATGTCAGTGAGGCAGCGGATGCATTCATGGAGAGATTGACCCTGGTATATTCTAGCGGCAATTTTGGAAGCCATTCTCGCCCAAAAAAGGCCAACGGACTAGTCCCATGGAGTTTAAATGCTGCTAGTGACCAGGATTACGCTTCCCTCATGCATGCATTAAATGTTTCGTGCGAAATCCTTGGTAAGGGTACAATCTTCCTCGAGTAATGCTGGCCTTATCCCTTATCTAACCGTTTTTCTAGGAAGCGCTTTATCAAACATATTAGCAAGTGACGAAAATGTGGTGATATACATCATAAATCCTTTCGTCTATGATGCGGCTATCGTAGACATTTGTTCGGCATTTTTACGACTATTTCACAAATATGTTGGTGATGCTGACAGGCAGCACACTCGACGTCTCAACGAGCTTGTTCTTCAAATAATTCCATTGGAATTCATTGCGTCACCTGATTCCTTAGTTGTGCCCACTCAGACAGATTATCTCCGCTTGGCACTTGAGGTTTATTCTCGCTGCCCACCAAAGGATAGATCTTCAGACTGGTTGGGGTGCGCCCCTCCTCTCGTGCTTGCGGAACCCGTTCCAAAAGTGGTGCCGTTTCGACTGGCGCCGGAATCCATAACACCGGTAGAAGAAGCCAAATGCCTCCATGTTGCTTACTCACAAAGTGTCGACCAACGCTGGGTAACAGCGGCATGGACAGACAATAGTGGTCGGCACCAAACCGCTCTTTCGTATTGTCTTCGAGAGCGAAATTCTCCAGTCTCCAGGCCTATATCAGAAATCCGAACACAAATTTGGGAGACGACCAAGGATATTATGGACATGTCATCTTCACATTGGCGATTGATCATTGTGAAAGATGAGCCAGTCGATTCTGAGGAGATTGATAGTAAGTATCCTGTCTACACAATCACACGATATGCACTCGTGGCTAACTCAAAGTTCTGTAAGTGTGGAAATCTCTACTGGATCAGTACAATCGCCACAAAGCCATCAAAGTCGAATTGGGCATCGTCAGCGTCAACACAAAACCCGGCTTGTCCCTCAGACTCCCATCATCCCCACTTCAATTCAGCGCTCTAAGCCAACAACCAACCCAGAACGGCCTGTCAACTGTAACACCAGGATCTACCCCCCGACCTGTACCGTCTCCTGATCCATCAGGCCCTGCAGCCACTCCTCCGACAGCAACTACACCCATGTTCGCGGACCAACAGCAAGCGACCCCACCACAACAACAACCACAACAGCTAACCACCGATTCAGACCAAGATACGATTCTCATCGACAAATCAGACGAAACCTGGGGCGTAACACTCTCCCACAGACTCAACAGCTCCTATTCCCTCACGAAATACCAGCCCGCGCTTGCAAGCGGGTACCTACTCCGGCGTTCAGGGACCAGCGACACGGACGGACAGGCGGTAATGACTGTTAATGTAATTTACACTAATTCACGACGACCGATCGACCATTTGTTGAAGGATATCCTGCGTATGTATAGAGAACTCATAACTTTGGCGAGGGTGAGGGGTATCGTTCATGTTCAAGGTAATTTACCACTACCCTGGCATATCATGACTGCGGTCAAGGGGCAGGAGGTATTGTCTTATACATTGTAGTTTGGGGTGTTCTGTGTCATTTTGGATATCCTCTTTTTATTTCTGGAGTATTTTACTTGCTATATCATGGGCTTCTCATTTGCTCAATTTCCTCTGTTTTTCATGGCATTCTTCTTAAATTTCTGATTTTTTTTTTTTTTTTTTTTTTTTTTTTTTTTTTTTTTTTTTTTTTTTTTTAATAGATATTCTTTTCTCTTCTATGTCGATATAATACAATTGGGGTTTGGGTGCGCGCCAAAGAGTCGATGTTCAACGGTTAGTTTTACTCTATTATCCCCTTTTTTGCCTATTCATAATGTTTTCGCTTTCCGATTCTGATTTCCATTCATCTCATGTCCCACATCAACCCAGGAACCCAATAGAAATTTTCTATCCGTTGTATGCCCAATACGCCGGTAAAAACTACCCTAGTGTTTTTGTAAACGGTTGTAAATTTAGGACTCTGGAGGGGCCCCAATATACATATAATTATCCGCATCGATGTTCATAAAGGTAGGCTTTAATTTCAGAGCCAAGAGGTCCTCAATGGCGGATCCATACTTGATGAGTTTATCTTCCCGCCATGCGGTCTGAATTATTCCAATACCGAACGGAATTTCTGCAAGATGAGCGTTAGAACAGGACCCTTCGTGATCGCACTTACGATAAACAGCGGAACAAGGGTAAATAAACTGGTAAACGAGAAAAAAAAAAAAAAAAAAAAAAAAAAAAAAAAAAAAAAAACCCAAATCTTACCGTTCTCGCCGGTAGCGATGCCAACAGGAATCGTGATCATCGGGTATCCTGTACATAGGTATTGGATTAAAACACCGAGGCGAAACCCCAACCTACCAAAGCCACATGGGGATGGAAGGGTTAATAAATACCAGCTTTGGCAGCTACTTGACATCCAACGCCGCTATCAGCTTGAAGCGGGACTAGTAACCCATCAAGCTGCCTGCCATCCCCCCTTGACAAAGCTGCATCAATGCCCTCTTCTCTAGATTTTCGGCGGATATAAGCCAGGGCATGGTGATAGGTCTCATCCATGACTCCTCCAGTTTCCAAACTCATTTCGAAGCTGTCCTGTCCAGATGGCCATGCAGGATGGACACCTGGGCGCCCGCCTTCTTTCTCAGCATGCGTTGCATTGTACTTGACCACATCGTCTAAACTTCTGATATTGTTGGGGTTGGCAGCGAGGTTGCTGAGATAGGTCTTCAAATCATTGTAAAATTCCGTCTTCACTACAGTGAATTGCGATTGTTCTGGGTGGCCTTGCTTGGTGGGATAGTCCCTTTTGTGGATATTTATTTGTTAGAATATGATCTAGCTGGACTGGAAAACAAAGGGAAGGGAAAGGGTGAAAAATTACCAGTCCCATCCACCTGGTGGGATAATTTCCTCCGCGCTTGGGAAATCGGTATACTCAATGACATTTGCTCCGGCTCCTCTTATGCGCTCTATTACCTGTCCAAAAATCTGATATTGCTTTCTAGCCGTTTCTTTCTGCTTGACCTTTTCCCATACTCCCTTCCAGGGTAATCCAAATTGAGCTCCTCGAAGGGCTTCCTTCCCGGAAACAAATGATACAAATGGGGCGGTTGGAAAGCTACCTGTAGACGATACAGTTTGAATGAAGGTTGTCAATCTTGTGGTGGCAACCCCACTGCAACTGTGGCCTGAAATAATTAGAGACTTACGGATATCAAGACGGGCGCCAGTAGGCGAATCGACAATGCCATCTAAAGCAATTGCCGCATCCAGCACTGTTCTCCCAAACGTGCCAACACTATCAAGACTGTGTGATTCGGGAATAACGCCCTTACCACAAGTCAGTCCAACCGTCGGTTTAATGCCAACAATTCCATTGCGATCAGCGGGCACCATTATCTGCATTGAGTATTCATTAATATCCAATCATTGTCCTTGCCATTGTCAGCGTATAGAACAACTCAGCTCACGCTTCCATCAGTCTCAGTGCCTAGGCTGAAAGCGCACATGTTTGATGCGACAGCAACTGCACTTCCACAACTGGAACCCCCTGGATGTTCGGCAAGGTTATAAGGGTTCCGGCATTGGCCGCCTCGAGAGGAATAGCCTTCCGAGCTTCATAACTGTTAGCGAAATCTTCGGCACCGTTTTCTCAATTGAGGTTTCGGCTTCGCCTCACTAGTACGTTGATCTCATTGATGCCCACTCGGACAAATTGGCATGCCCGAGTAAGACGGCACCAGCTCTCCGGAGGAGAGACACGACATGTGCGTCTTCCGGGACGACAGTCCCTACTAGCACTGTAAATCATTGTAGGGATGAGTAAGAGGTTTAATATGTTTAGATGTAAAGGGTAAAATCTGAGTAGCCTCTATAACATACCAGAGGAGCCAGCAGTCGTTCGCATCTTGTCCTTCGTACCCATGGTCTACATGTCATTAGAACCAGACCGTCCCTTGCGGGTAAAAATAGATTCGAATGTACGAGGTGACAATCAAATGTTATTCCCGACAACAAAACGGAGATGGATGTAAAACATACATCCTTAACAAGAAATGGAATCCCATGGAGTAGTCCATGATTTCTCCTCTGCTCCCTTTCGCGATCCATCATCATAGCAATGTCTAGAGCATCGGGATTGACTTCAATTACAGCTCTAGATTCGAAAATAGTCATCGGAGTTAGTCGAAATACATTGTGCTGCCCGTCACCTTTCTATTACAAAAGGAGAAAACTTACTTTAAGACTCGATTGACGCGCCTGATTCTCTCCAAGTAGCACGCTGTCAGGTCATAAACCGAGAACTTCCTGCTCTCGAGACATTTGTGTAGTTGAGGGATAGAAAGCCCCTCAATGTCAACGCTGCGACATAATGGCATGCGAAGATCTACCTCCACCCCTCCTCTCTTGGAACAATTGTTGTCTTCTTTATTCATAGCACCGGTATGAATACTAGCGAATGCCCGAAAGGTCACCCGTGGCCAGCCCAAACCGGGCGGGCGAACATTGAGCAGAGGTTTGACAAGTTTGATGTACACCATAACTTATTCCCGGCATGATTAGGAGAAATTCATCAGTTGCAAAGAAGAAAATATCACCTCTTCCAAGGCATAATCTTGATATTGACACAAAAGGCAGGATCTGTGGAGGTAATTCATTGTCCAAGAATAGTAATTTTACATGTACTGTACGGTAACTACCCATAGTTATATACTTAGGGAAAACGCTGTGTTATGTATGTATGTAACTTATTTCTCTGTCTGATGTCTGTAATCCTAATACCGTAACTTCATCGTAGTTAATAGAGCATGTTAACAACCATAACCCCTATTATTTGTTACTGCTACTAATTACGAGCAACAGCCAGCATCGACATACCACCAACCTCAGCTATTTCATCACATCTCGTCGACACATCATAGTTATTCTCATCCGGTTTTGGCACTGGTACCAAAAATAGAGAAAACTCTCATATTGCATATTACAACTATGTCAAGAGGTCTTGCATAAATCAGTGCTATCATCCAGCATTGTTTGTTGCTGTCTCTCTATCCACCGTTCGGTATTTCATTCAATTCTGCATTTGATTATTCGGCTGAAAATATACGCATGCATTTATTTATATAAAAGTTTCACTAAGTCACTCAATGACAGTGCGCAACACTTTCGTGGAAATCTGTCACTCTTGCATACCAGGGGGCAGGGGGGAGGGGGAGAGGGAGGAGCGGAGAGGGTAAGAAGAGTCTGACCCAAAAGTTGGGCATTAGCACATCTAGGAATTGCCCAAAGGGGCCCTCTGCAACCGTTGGATGACACTATAGTCAATAGGAATATAATCGGTGCGAGCAAAATGCCTCCAGAGCTCGCCGGGGAAGGAGGGGCCCCCTGGTATGCTTGCTCATGTCCTCAATAGCAGCCCCATGTTTAAGGGTTTTGGTAGCAAAGACAGCGATCCCTTTCGCAAAAACCTACACTTCACGTTTTTTAACCCCAAATCCCTGCGCTTCTGGAGAGCTGAGGAAAATTTGTGCCGTAGGACGGTGCCCTGGCCCCTCTCAGCACTGGAGTTTTGCTCGTACTCCTGAGGCTTTCCGCTAGAAGTAAGTATGGCGTCAACAGATATTATTGAGAATAACACATGTGATGAAATACCATCTCCGTGCTAAGATACTCAGGTGAACCCCGAAGTCAAAGGATGCGTTTCACATCCCATTTTATGGGCAGGGGGTTGGTATAATTGACGTGATTCTCATCATTGGTGGCAAATAATAGGCTCACTTACAACCGAATTGTGCCTGCGCGGTCGACGGCAGCATCACATATCTCCGTATATTGCATCCAATAGGAACTTAGTCCGACACGGGTTCGAAGGCAGATGTAATTCAATGTCACGTCCGTGTGATAAAAGAAAACAGCCTATGACCAATACGTACTTAGCGGAAGAGATAACGGCCGAAAATACTGATATGTGGGATTGATATTGACGTAAGGTTGATAGAGCAGAATAAGTCTGTGCCATAGGGTAGTCCTCCAGGAATAATGATGGAAGCGCCACTAGGCATCATGAGTGTCCGCTTCGCACTATTCACAATAGTTGCTGGTATGCAATAATGAATAATATGGGTCTTGTATCAGACACAAGAGATCCCTGTGGAATGATATTTCTGCCGAGCCGCGACTCGCTACGTCACAAAACGGGTAACATGAAATGGCAGTCACGACTGCCTGTGAGCTGCAATATGTCCGCAGGGCGACAGTTTACCATTCTACCGCAGTGTATGCTGATACTCACGGGCATGGGGCAGGTTGTTGGTAAATAGTGAAAGGGGTTGGGAAGATAGAAGGGAAGTGACCTTCAGACAGGGAAGGGCGAAAATACGTTACCGATAGACACAGAGGGAGCTTTGTAGACTCCAAATGTACCATACAGATGTAGTAGCAAGGGAGACGCTAAGCAGGGAAGTAATGAGGCTCGAAACCTCCCCTCCTGCTAGTGATAGTTCCGCACCCCCGATTTGGAGCGTGGATTCCTCATTGCCACCAAGGCACAGACGACGATCTCGTTAAAAGTGGCAAATAATGCTTTCCTTTGTCTCCAGGACTTGAGATGCCGTATTGCCAAAACCAAAAGCCGTCACCTCTGGCACTGGGGTAATGAAGCCACGGCTGTTTGAGAAGGGAAACAGACAAAGAGCGATCCTCGGAAGCGGGCTGTTGGGCATGTTCTAGTGTATTGTGCCCGTAATGGGAGCCTAACGCTGGTAAGGGACGTCCTTCACCTAGGCTCATGAGATCATGCGTCACGGATCGCCACACCCAGGGGAGGGGGGGGGGGGGGGAATGACAGTAAGGGTATACAACACGATCATTATCAGGAGGGATTGCAATGAATCTTTGATGAGAGCGACAGATATCCGGGGGAATCAAGCCGGGCAGACGATCATCGTCGTCTTTAGATCGAGGCTAGCAGGTGATGCCCTGGCCAGGAGTTTCCTAATGGTGTGGTCGGTTGACAGGTATACTGTTGCAGTAACCCACACTGGGGAAAGTGACTCTTAGACAATGTCCGCGAAATGGATTGCAGGGGATGTTCGCCTGAAAAGCATTGACAAAGCCGGACATGTACCGGAAGCCCAACCCAGCTGACACTCAGCAATCCGAAGACACTATCGCAGGCCAATATGAAGTATATGGATGTTGCCTAAAGGAGTGAGTTTTGCAGGCTAGGGAGGTGACAAAAGTGTGAGAACAGAGGGAAGTTGGACACCAAGTTGGCCAACGCCAGCTGAAGGAGAACCTAACTCTAGCGCCATAACTTAGGATTTGGGGTTGCCCATGTAAAAGGGTGGCGAATTGGCAGTGGATAAGAAATGGGGGCCAATAACTGTCGTATATCTCTTGTCATAGTGCATATTCCAAAGAACCCCACCCTCCATTTAAAGAGGTGGTATGCAGTCTTTCCGCATCCATGGCCGAAAAGAAAAGGGCACTAAATAAACAGGGAAACTGAGTGTTGAGCTAGAGTCCGAGCCCGGTTAAACCGAATGGGATGCCTACCTAGGTGCGGCAATTGATAACTAAAAGGTGATAAAACTGAGGTTCATTCAGCACTGCCTCGGAGGAGTGGCGGACTACAAGAATGAAAGGAGCAACTGAAAGAAAAAGAGAGAGAGATTAGATATTGAAGGTGGTAAAACGAATGGTCAGCAACCATATCGGACCTTGCGACAAAGGAGGAATGTGTTAAATCACATCTATGCGGAGAAAAAATTGAACAGCAGAACAGAGTAAACAGAAATCAAAATAGAAATGCTGCATGATCGTTTTTCAAAACGTCACGGTTAATACCATAAGTTTATCATTCTGTATTAAGTAGACAGGAGAGCGGTTGGGGATAGAGACACAGATGAGAGTGCTAGGGAAATGCTATGGTATCGTCAATCCCCAACCAGTGCAATCTCAGTTGGTTGAAATAGAAATGCATGGCATAGCGTAACGGCAAATGCAGCACGACATCGTCAATAAAATGCCACTAGGATTGGACCGCATGAACAGGAGGGGGATGTTGTGGTTGAAAATGCCCGAGAAGAAGAACTGACGTTGGCGGTTGATACAAGGAGCTCACAGATCGGGCATAGTGCCGCGTGAGGCTGATCTTCCCCCAGCGCCTAGCCCCGTTTAGGTCAGGCGTTTTCCTTTGTTTGGATGCGGCTGGTTAGGGTTCAGGGCAATGACATCATTAGCCGCCGCAGTCCCCCCTGGTCGCCAAACAAGAACACAGCCTATCAACTCCCCCAGAACAACGATGATGTCAACACAACAGTATCCAGTGTCCATAACAAGGGGCAGGAGAAGACCCGTGTGATCAATGACGATTTGTTTTTTGAGTTGGAGGTTCGAAGGAGAGAACAAATCATCCGCAATGATATAGACTGTATTGGCCGCTGTTGAGATATGTCTGCGTGGGCGTATGCCGTGTTGCCCTTGCGCGACGCTGTCGACAGTGTATGAAAGGGGATAATTCGCCAAGCAAGCGTGGGGACTGCCTGATAAGGATAAACATATTGCGCTCGCGATAAGACAGCGTTGGACATCAACAGCACTCACAGAGGATTGGTCCTCTAGCTCGCGACATAATCAAAGGGACCTGGCCTGTGGCATTATTGATGACCCCCAAGCGGAACACGAACTGAGGCGGTGCACAGCAGGTTGAGCCAACCTTTGTTCGAAGGAATGTGTTCAAGCCACAGTTTTCATGCCACTGATGCCGACCAGGGTTCGTGTGGCTGATTTGGGTGCGTGGTGTTAGCGCTCTTATATGCACGACCCTCGTTTTCCTTCTCCTCCTCCTCCTCCCCACCCCCCCCCTTTTCTCCCATCCGTCCATAGTCTATATAGGGTAGACGATTTTCTCAAACCTGCAGCTAAGGCCAACCTCCGCGCCGAGGGATATGCTAAATTGAGTCATATCCTGGTTTCTCACCACCCATCTTGCCATTCCTTTCTGCCTGATTGGACAATGTGAACTAACTGTCTGTCCATATGACAGATGCATGCCGACAAGCGGGAGTCTGGCAACGCTGAGAAATGTGTCATGTTCACCCTCTACTTCATACATCTGATTTTGTCTAATAAAGAATTTAACCTTACTGTTGACAGTGAAGACGTGTTGCCAGCAGATGGCTGTTAGACACACAACGAGCGGGGAGGGGGGGTTTAGACGAGCTCATAATAGCGATGACATCTGATGATTTTCTTTTTTTGTTGACGTCGGCATTCACAGCCGCTACTCTTCGGAAAACCAAACCGTCTGTCTCGTCATCATTATCTTCTCCCCTACCCCCGCGTCCCGACTAAGGAAGCGGCAGCATAAGCCGCCCTGGAAGCCCCTCCTCGCTATAGGCACGACCACTAGCTATAGGGAAGAGTCGAGACAATTCAGCCACAGGAGTTCAAAACTTCCTTTCATCTAGATCATGGCGGACGCTGTTCTGGGTGCGGGCAGTGCTGCCTATGTAATTTTACATCGTGGATTCAGTGTATATTACGATACGCATCGATTTTGCTGCCCGTATCGCCGGTTAGTTACAGTATACCATCAAAGCTGGTATTCGCTCGTTTTCTCCCCAAGGCAGCCCACCCTAGCCCACACAACCCCGGTCAACTTAGTGTTACCCTTAGCTCCCTCCCGGTCGATGACCCTGTGCTCGTTACCGCTAGAATTAGCGGCATCTATTCCCGGTCTGGCGCTGGTCAGTGCTTTGGCGCAGAAAAGTTATATATCTAGATCGGCATCCTCTTCCTCCCCTCCCCCCTCTCCAATCATACACACCAATCCAGAGCATCTCTCCCAAACAACATATAAGACTCCTATTCCCCCGTTTGATCTCTCTTCCTTTTTCCTCCTCAACTCCGTTCTCGTCTTGTTTATCTTCTATATTGTAGCATACTATCCTTTGCCAGTGTGCTTGTCATAGTGTCTTCTCCTCGGTACCCTCTTCCCACCTACCATAACCCCCCTCGCTATATTGGGGCCCATATTCTCAGTCCGCTTACACCACCGCACAACTACTTCCCTCGTCATCGACGTTACACTATGCCTTCTCTCGTTCGTGAGATTGGCGCTGAGCGCCCGGTCCTGTCTCGCGCGCCCCGAGATGACGAAAAATATGTGATGGAGCGATTCTCACAACATGCTCTTCGCTGCCCCGCTTGCAGTCGCCCGTACGAGACTTTCTGCAGTGGGAGACCCCTCTGCAGCCGTGGGAATCTTTATGCGACTAGTCTATTGCAATACGTGTACCAAAAATGCGGAAAACCATACTCCTTGGTTGACCGTGAATACGGCCGTTATATCCAGGTTCAGATCCCCAGTGATTGCCAAGTGGTGCACGACTTGCTCAACGCGCTCGATAAGGGCCTTATTATACCTACTCGTAGACAGACCGCACCGGTCGTCGTTCACAACCCCAAGCCAGTTGCCGAACCCGTTCAAGAGCAACCGCGCGTAGTTCACCGACGAACCATACCTACCACTGTTACCCCCCACAGCAGCCTGAACCTCTCTCGCAATGGCTTATACGTCTATCGCCGTGGGACGCTCTACAGTCTTGACCTCAGTCGACAGACCTCACCGGCCTCCTCCCAGAGGGTTCGCATCCCAAACACCTACCTGCGTTGAAGAACAATAACGCCATACGAATGCAGATTTACTCATATCGAATAACCCCACTGCCCACGTACATACGTTAAACCTGAATTTCAGCCCTTGGCAACTGAATATATATTCCCACAGACCTTGCGACAACCACCGCCCCCCGCCTTCGGGGCCCCGACTGAATCACGCGACAAACACAGGGAACATGCACTAGTACATCGCAATTCACAACATCATGGCGGCAAAGCCACAGGATAGGTCGGGACAAGGACTGTGATGAAGCATGCAATTATTCCAGCGAATCCCCCAGCACTAAACACTTGCACAAGCCCCAACAACCCCGGAATAGGCATATCGGTGCTAATGGATTGGTGAGTCGGAGGAACGAGGAAAGCATCGAAATGGAAGAGATGGAGCGGATGGAAGACAATACTTGGTGCTCTCACTGAGGTCTTACAATGGTACTGTCACGACAGCCCAAGAGCCCCCAGCGATAGAGCTCTTTTTTGTACTTTTTTGATTGTTTGATTCTTGTTTTATTTTCTTTTCCATCCTTGACTTCTATTCATGCATTGTTAACACCACTTTTTTTGACGTCCCCATTTATGTTTGAATCGCCTGAGCTAGTTTCATCCCTTAGGAGAAAAGTATGAGCAAAATGGGAGAAAAGGAAAATATAAAAAATTAGATAGTTAAGCCAATCAAGGAACTTTTCCGCGTCACAAAGCCTTTAACCACCTAAAAAGTCTCATTCCTTGACTTCAAACCACACCGCCAAACAGGCATCTGTATTATTTTGTAACTTATTTTTTTTAAAATCCCTGAGGCCCCCAAGAAAGAGCAGAAACCAACTTCAAGCCTCTAAGAAAGGAGGAAAAGGAAGAAAAAGAGAGCCAAGGAACATTCAAAATCTCCAAAAGGCCTGCCAAGATCTTTCCCCTCCCCCCTTGTAGGCTCCTACGAACCCAGTACCTTCACACTATCACCAAAACGTCCACACCCACCTCAGCACGAAATCTGTTCTTCTGCTCATGCGCGGACTCTTACTCTTGGCAGCATGACATGATTGGGCTATCGGTTTCCCTTTTGGGGTGCGGATTTGGTTTCCGACTGTTTTGGTGGTAGGAGTCATATGGCTATTCGCACTTTGCATTCGTTCAGCTGGCGAGGTATTTGGATATGGCCTGGGTGTGTGTGCACTTGGGAATTATTTTCTTTCCTACTATCATAATTATTATAATTAACTACCCATCCCATCCACAAGGTGTATGTATACATCCATTCTTCTGTAGTGCGTCCACGGGTGCGAGGCCGTAATCACGTGGGGTTTCGATGCCCTACTACTTCACCGAGCCCTGCTGGGGCAAACGGCGTAACCTGACACTGATATCCAGGCGCAAAGATGTTCCTATAGCAGGAAGCCTTTATGAAGTTTCCTAGAGTTACTTTTACCCAACTAGAGCACGGAGCTTGGATATGTACCTCCGTTTCTGGCGCTTCCCGAATGGGCTTTCCGGACAAGTGAGTATGTCACCGAACTGGGTACGGTTCGTGAAAGCTCTCATGGGGACGCAAGAACCAGAGGAGATGTTCTCAATATGCAGGAAGTACTAGTAAACCTACGCACAGCCCTATATGCAGCTATCCGTCTACAGCAGCGGGAGAGGCAATGAGGTTATCCGTGTCGACTTTGGTTGGATAAATAACAAATTCAATATGGCAGACATATTACGAGAGACCACCGGCAAGCCCTATTTTCTAATGATTTGTTCAAGGAGGAGTTGATGCCGTCCTCCCCAATGATTTAGTGGTTGGTTGATAATTAGTATTGAACGACCTGGAAGAAAAAGCGCAGGAAACACAGGACGCAAGGGGATCTTTCGCAAGCGAGGAGGCATTCCACAAAGTCAAGCTTCTGTGGATATCCATCGATATCCTCCGAACAAAGCAACGACCTGGCAATAAAAAAATCTCCCTTTGTGACTCAAAACGAAAAATGTCCAGACCACTGCCAGAAAGCGGGTCGGGGCTGTCAGCCTCCGTCATGCAACCTGCGTTAGGCCGTGCAGGCTGCGAAAGAAAAACGCCTTATGATTAGGCGCGCCACTGCATTCCACCCACACCAAATTCTCTGCATCTTAAGAGGGGAAGCGGGACCAACGGTGGTATTTTTCACGGAGCCTCGATGCGGGGCCTTATCTTTCTTTGTGCGAGAACAACCCTCCCACCAGCCACGCTGTCAGGTCAGGCCTGAAAATAAAGTTTAAAGTTTAATACTAGTCTTCATCTGTTTAGCGCGCTCATATCTTTCACGTGATTTTCAAATCCTCTCCAATATATCGTCAACAGCGCATCGAATCTTTAAACAGTGCTTTGCGCAGCCAACGAAGCCAATCCCTCAGAGAAGCGCAGCCTCCGAGGCCCCAATATTTGCTTTACTGTTCCACCTCGATTGAGCGTTATTCGCGGGCTCATTTCTATCCGGAGTCCCTACATCCCGACCCAAGATCGGCAAATCCTGAAGGTCCCGCAAGATGGCTAAGAAAGGTATGGAGAAATCACCTCCCTCAGCTTAACACACTACCAGTCTAGATCTACTGGCCTTGAGAGGGCTAGATCCCCAAATTTATGAAATGTCAATATTCTAATTCGTTTCTTGTGCTGTGAAATAGCTAAGTCGCGCACCATCGCCGTCCGGCTCATCAGCATGGCGATGACTGGCTACTACCGAACGCTCGTCCGGCCGCGTACCAGCAGACCCCTCAGCATGCTAAAGTATGACCCGGTGGTGAAAAAGAAAGTGCTGTTTCTGGAGGCGAAGCGCGGAAAATAAACTCATCGAAAGAAATCGACCCCTTTGCGGTTTTCGAGTATGCATACCCGGTCGGTAATGGACGCCCATGTCACCAAATCGATGGTTCATCATTGCATTGGCAGTGGTTGGTGTGGCGGGATATATTGAAATGGATGAAATGCCGCACGTTGCATCATTTGATGTAGCCTGTTTCTCTGCTTTCCTTGTCTCTATTTCGGTTGGGAAACGAGTGAGTTATATTACTCAAGCCATCCCTAGAGGGCCTAGTCCGGATTGAATGTGCATTTATGGTTAGAGAAGGCCCATATCTGTGTACGAGTATATGTTTGTGCGATACTGTTGGCACCGTTGGGATTTCCGGATATTTATTTGGCGAAAATTCGGTTGTACATTGCACCTCCCCCTTCTTAGACGTCTTTATCTTGCATCCAAGGCGTTTTTAACATAATAGATTATGTGGATTGAAAATATTAACTACCCGATACATGTTTACGACATCTTGCTGAATTCCCCTTCGAAATTGCGAAGCTAGCTTGTTTTCCTCTGATCAAGTCTCCCGAAAAGAACGGATTGCAGACCGCTGCAAAATATGTATCCGCTAACTTACACATCAGTAAAGATATCGACAGTTTATCTAACTCCTCCTCATTCAACCACTTTGACATTCCATAAATATATAAGTAGAGAGAGGCACAATTCGATTCCGGACGGAGGAATCCGTGCTTCACACTGTAATTGCCCTTATTTATCCGGGGGGTTTCTGGGAGAATCTGTTGTGGTACAGATCACCTACTGATGAAATTAGCATCTCGTTGCGGGCGACGATGGGAGTTTTAACTTTACCTCTCTGTCTCCGACGAGGTCTTTCTCTAACACGCCCGGCTGGTGGATGAGATTTTTTGGTTGTACTCCCACATCGTCCTCCCATGGCGGTAATCGAAGCCGCCGAGCTGTTTGTTGGATTAAAATACTTAGATTTTCGAGAGGGGCGTCTAAAAGTTATTTTAGGACTTGCACCCATCGGGGTTTCCCCGCTGTTCTCATGTGGTGGAGTTTCCACTACAGTCTCTATCGTAGATGAGGTTGGCTTTGTCGTATCCTTAAGGATTCCTGTGCGAGGGAGCTTTTCCGGGGATTTCTGGCTTGCAACCTTCTTACCCTGCTGTTAGACTATGTTCAATAACCCACTTGTCCCTTTCTTCTAATGTAAGGAAAACGAAAACTTGGGGACCGCTTACCATTGTATGCATTTCGTCCTCAGACATTTTTTTTCTTTTCAACGTACGAGCGATTGTCTTTGGCGGAGAGCAAGGATTGTCTTGAACCTCAAGGTTATTATCAATCCTACATTTGTTAGGGGTGCTGGCTGCTGCGGCAGGCTCATTTCCTGTAGCCTCATGAGGAGCTTCGGCCTCTATAGAACCCCTAGATTGCTCGCATTCTTTATCACGGCGAGATGTGCATATAGCATCATTGACTGCATCCGAAACGCACAGAGCGCTTCGCTCCTTTGTTCTAGCCACTTCACAAGGAAGGATAACTTTGTCACTGGGTAGGGAGTTTTGAGCTGCTGCCATTCGTGCTTGATTAGAACCAACATTTTTGGCATTCATAGGTGTTGTTGGGAACAATGCGTTCAGATCTGTGAATTCTAGTACGGGAGACATTTGCTCTCCAGGATAAATAGCCGGGGTTGTTTCGTTTTGCAGTCGGGAGAATGGCCTGATAAATGATGTGGAGGTCGTAGGAAGCCCACTATTGGCATTTTTACCTCGTGAAGGGGTCTTAAGCGTTGGGGATATAATTTCCCGAGTGCTCCGTGTCCGATAAACTATCTCAGTTGTTTGGCGCTCTCTGCTAGAAGAACCGGGTCTCGCGCATTCAGCATGAGTGGACGACATACTGCGTTTCCTGCTTGTTCTTTGCCGCTTTGATGAGATCCTCATAGGTATATGGAGCCCTGATTCTATAGGCTCTTTTGGCTGTCGTCCATCAAGAGAACCTGCCATCATCTTCAATCGTGACTGTAGTACGTTTGAGTAATCTCTCAGCGATTCCATAGTCCCAATGATTCCAAGCTGCCTTAGAATGCTTTCCGTGTTTTTGAAAATAACGTTGGATTCTTGGACTCGAGATCGGAGCTCTGCAAGTTCATTGTCCCTTTGTTCGATATCGCGTTTTAGTGCGGACGTTTCAGCAGATAATTTTCCAAAGGCCTCCATTTTCTGCTCAAGGATGATAAGTTCGTTATTCTTCTCCTTAAGCGATTCCCCTATTGTAGTGACCGAAGTCAATTGATTATCCAGCCTCTCGCGCAGTATGGCGATTTCAGCTGATTTATCAGCCACCTCTTGCTGCAACTGAGAGATCGTCTTATTATTCTCTTCGGATTTTGACAATTCTTCCTTCAATGAAAGAAGGTTTATATCCTTCTCTGCAATTTCATACTGAAGGACCTCTACTGTCTCCTGTAAGGGTTCCTGCTCTTGCAGGGTCGCCAGGTTCATGCGTAATTCGGATAGTTGGTGCCTCAGCTCTTCTTTCTCCTTTGTTGCAGCCTCAAGTTGCCATTGCGCGCTCTGTAGCTCTTGTATGGTGGATGCATGAAGCATATTTACCTCATCCATTTCCGCGGCGATATTCGAATCCCTCTTCGAGGCTGTCATTTTCAGGCTATCGATTTCCGACTGCTGTTGGCTCATCTACGGATCATCAATATATTTAGCGGTGAGGAATTGGGATTAAACGGACATACCTTTGCAACTAACTCGTGATTGCCCTTCTCCGCAGCTTCCTACGACACTATCAGTAACCAGGAAAAAAATATATATCATTTTGGTATACAGTACCAACGAAATTTTCACGGAGTTTAGCTCCTCGGCCACTTTTTGGGCACTTTTTTCGGCCAAAATCTTTTCGCGCTTGAGTTTATGCCGTTCCTGTTCGAACCATGCCCTGTGCTGATCTTTCGCTGCCAAATTTGCCCTTGTTAGTTCTTCTCTGACTCTGTGTTCTGTCTTTTGGGCCTCGTCGCGAATCTTAAGCCTTTCGCTTGTGAGGCCCGCTATCTCGCTTTCTGCAGCTGCTAGCCTTTCAATTGTATCCGTCAGCTTTAGTTCCAAGTCGCTTATTTCGCTTTGTTTCTCTTTGAGCTCATTTGACACTTCGGTAAGGGAGGCTGAAGTTGCCTCCAGCTGGATCTGAAGCTCCGACGACATGTCGGCATCCCTGAACTGAGCATCCTCAATTTTATTCTTTTGTAGCGATGAAATCTCAATTTCGAGGTCTCGAATACGTCGTTGTAGGGATGCTTCTTGAGACTTGAGTCTGTCGCGATCTGCAGACACCATATGCAAGCTCTTGTCAGCCGCATTCAGCTTTTCCTGAAGGTTTCCGTGCAATTCACGAGCTTCTGCGAGTTGACAAACGACTTCTGTGTTTGATTTTACGGCCGTCTCTAACCCCGTCAGCTGGCTTGACACCCGTTGTCCGTAGTTCGTGTGCAAATCGAATGCTACCTCCATATTCTTTTTCGACGCTTCAATGGAAACATGAAGCCTACCATGCCGTTAGCATACTCCATTAACGCTTCCAGGAGGCGAGATGAACTTACTGCATAGAAAGATCCCTAATTGCACAATCTACCTTTTCTAGGTCTTGAGGTTTCAAGGTTTGTTGCTGGCTGAGCGATTTCAATAACGACATGCATGAAGTAAACCCAGACTCCAGTTCATCCTTGATGGAAGACTGTGCGGAATTCCAGCTTTCAATATGCTTGTGGATCGTATCTATCTTTTTTATCATCTGAGATTGCCTTTCATCGATGTTTAAGGCCTGCTTATGATGTCTATCCGAATGATTCTTTATGTAGTTTTCCAGAGTAGCGACATGATTCCTCTCCCTGGAAAGGAGCTTCTCGGTCTCCGTCACTCTGGTAGTCGCTGTGAGCAGAGATTTCTCTAGAGTGTTGAATTCCTGTCGTACTCCAACAATAGTTGCACGATGTTGGCTCCAGCGTGTTTTCAATGAGCCAGTACTGTCACTCATTTGTTTCAAGGTTTCATGAATTTGATTTTTCTCTTGAAGCAAAGACTCTTGCGTAGATTTGAGAATTTGTCCTTCTTTCCGGAGAGACTCAAAATCACTCCCAACACTGGTGACAAACGTCCGTAGCTTACTAAACTTTGTCTTCCATCGTTCAACAAGTGAATTGCTAGCGTTAAGCCGTTCTTGCTGACTTTTACCAGAAATCTGCGACTCCCGCAACCTGGAGCGCAAATCATCATTTGTTCGAGTTAGTGCAAGCATTTCATCTTTCATTCTCTCCTTCATGGCCGTAGCTTCTGCTTCCATCTCATCCCTCTTTTTGAGCTTACGGATCAACATGTAAAAAAGGTCCTCCTCCGATGGTTGAAATGCAGATGAAGATCCTTTCTGGAGTGTAACTTGCTTGGTAGCCACGCCATTGACCACTGACTTCGCAGACATCGGATGTTTTGTGACTTTCGAATTCACCATTAACTTCGGTTGCGGTGTAGCCTTCATGGCTGATGGTCGTGGAGGAGTAAGTTTGGGATTCCCGCTGTGACTTCTGGCGCTTGCTGGCGAGTTACAGTTATCGGTATTAGGGATTGGCCCAGTAGGATCTTGATTCTTTAAGTTGTTAGAATCTTCAGTTTATGGGCAAAGCAAGCTAAATTCGCAATAGAAGTATATTGAGAAGCAAGACTACACAGAACACCAACGGGGGCAGTTGGGAGGGAAAATTTAAACATGAAAGCTATAACAGCAACATGAACCAAACAGAGTAGCCTCAAGTGAAGGTATTTGGCATAGAAATTATTACTTACAGGTGATTGCGCCGACTGGGTATGATTCGCTGTTAACAAATCAATATTGCCCATTAAACGGAATATTATAAGTGGGCTTACTAGCTAAATTGCTGTCCTTCTCCAATGCATCGTTTTCTGACTGGCTATCAGCTCGATCTCCAATTTCTAAGGAGTGGCCAGTTTCTTTTGAAGTACGATGGATCCCAGCAGTCGGCCCACAGGTTCTTTCAGCAGTGTCATGAGTGATCGGAGATTTTGTTGGGGAGACCTGTCCGCTATTGATAGCACTATCTTTCGAAAGCGCGGAAGTTCCACTAAACTAGAATTAACTCGCGTCCATTCTGCCGGAAAAATAGTACTGACCTTGAGCTCGATTCGGTACAATTAGAATCAGGACAATTTGTCCCCGAGGGATTAACAATGACCTTTTGGTTACTTGCAGAGGCTAAGATGCTTCCAGCAGGTTTGGCTTTTAACCTTGACGTGAAATTGGGAGTTGGAAGCTTGGGTTTCGCAAAATGGAAGTTAAACTCCCCCGTCTCGAGGTCAGAATTCGGAGGCCGAGATATCAAAGTTGGGGTAATTTGGAAACAACTATTCAGGGAAACAGGGGTAACGGGAATAGCACATTTCTCGAGAATCTTCTTAGATGTGGGGGAGAGGCCAGCTTCATCACTGGGGAGATTCACAGAAAACAGATCCTCCCCCATCGTATGGCACTCGCCTAATGGACCTAGGGGGTTAGAAGTCATATTACCAAGGGGGGTTCATCATAGACGTATGAAGGTAGACTGCAGAAGGGACAGCTCTATTAATCTAGGACTAATCTGCACTTGGACCTATGCTGTTTCACTGTATCGGGAATGTATAGGAGAAGTCAATCCTACATGAAAGAAATCTCTCAGTGAAACCAGCAAGTGCCAGGGGAGTAATGTAGCTCGAACGACTGGGCTAAAGGATATAAAACCAACGAACTGAACCGACGATTATGTCCCTCTGATGGCACAGACTTCCCTCAATCGTGCTCTTCGCAACAGCAGAGGGTCCTGGTGAAAGAGGACGAGGATAAAACAGAGGTGAGGTGAGGTCAAAGAGGTGAGGTCAAACCTTGGAAGAGATGACGTTAAGGAGGCTCTTATGAGGCTTGCCCGATCCGGCAGGTTTCGCAGAGCCTCCTCGCAGTCAAATCCGTCGTCGCCAAAACTCATCATTAATGCCATCTGAAGATGCATGGGAAAACTAGAATACCCTGATTGGAAATACTGCGTGAATCGTTCACCAACCTGGAAACCGTCTGAGCCTCTAAGATGAGGCCAGTTCAAATGTCCCTTGGCATATCTCTTGATGTTTGAAGCAGGTTTGGGGCAATCTTTCAAGATGGCGCAACCGCGCTTCGACCAGCAGATTTGGCAACCCGGATGAGCCGATGTTCACTTGCCCCAATAAAACTACCTTCGCAGGTAGCCGCCTCACGAAGGGCTTGTATAGTAAGGCCATCCGTAGTAGCAATGCCCAGCTCACCGCCCGAACATCTCGTGTCTGGCGAAGCGCCAAAACCAGACGGAAGTTTCGATGGGTTTTATCCAAAGAGTACTCTCTGTACTCCGTAGTCTGAACAGATCCAAGAGTTCGAGGGTGTTGGGAAACTTAAAAAGTTGTTATCGCTGACAGAAACGATCATTGGGCAATGTTATTATATGATTCAAACAAAATGCAACCCATTTTGCACGGCCACCGAACGGCTCACACTCCAGCACAAACCCCCTCAGGATCAACAAGTCAGACGGACATGATTTTTGTGATGGCTGTTTACATGAGGCCCTAACTTCATGATAGTTTGTAAGTTAGCTAGGCATTTTGGCATTCGCATGGGAATGATCAACATCATCAACAGAAGCTCACTGGGGTTGCACATTCCTTGCGTGATTGAATTGTGATAACTGATGTGAGAACATCTGAAGATGTTGTGTGATTGCATTGTGAATCACCCCTGGCTGCCTTGGCCATCGGCCTAGCGTGGCAGACCGTGTCAAATCCTGGCGTTTCTTCATAATCATTGGGCCATGAAACTTTAACTTTGCAACAGAGCAAGCGCTAACTCGGCCATACAAACGATCGCACGGAGTCTCCACGATGCTTTAGCTTGCTGTGCTCTGGGAAAGCTCGAATAGAGATTCAGGACATTGCCAGAACCGCCCAGGATGAGCATACCAATCCACACACATATCGCCTATCATGGAGTGTATGGTCCACTCGAAATCCTTCAAGAATCTGGGGGAAGGGGTACGCTCTCAACTTCGGCCCAAAAGCTGTGCCAAGTTAGCCCGCACTTGAGGGTTTTATATACTGGGAAACCTCCTTCCCCTGCGGGATGCATTTGATTATAGTTATTCTTCATTTACCATATTTCTCATCTACCTCCATGCCACAGGGGTAGCCACCAGCTACTATTATTTTTGATTTTTGTAGGAGCTTATTCTTCTCATCACTGGCTACCACTTACGTCTCCAATGAGCATTCAAATCCAAGCTTGACTCAGTCGTCTATTCAAATGGACGTTATCCATCTTCGTCAATTTATATTCCTTCTTATTTGGACGACAATAGCCCCCATGTCTTACGGCTACAGCTTTACTTCCCACCAAGCCACATCTGAAAATTGGGGTGCACGGTATCGCGTCGTAAAACGTGAGATGGAAATTATCCCAGGCAGCGTCGGCGATGTTGAGACAGATAGAGATTGGGCCCAATCTAGCGGTGGATCTTTCAACATCTCCCAGGGTGGCATAATCGCAATAGTTGTGATTGTAGGTATCGTTGTTATTCTAGGGTGTAAGTGACAACATCAAATAAAATTCGGGCCTATTCTCGTTGGTGGTTAACAAGAATTTTGCGGTCCTAGTAACATCCGCGATCCTCTTCTATATTGCTAAGAAGCGATCATGGGAAGTTCGTGCCTCAATACGCCGATCAGCAAAGCGCCTTGCGGCACCAATGACACCACGACGATTTTCAACCGCGCCCAGTTCAAGTAAACCAAGGAATCGCGACGTATCCATGCGCATTCCTGCTCAGGATACGGACCCAAACCAGAAGAAGCCAAAAGAAGCTTCACAGCAGATTAAGTCCGATGGATCCACCGACAGGCGGGGACGGGGGAAAGAAATGCTGCCGCCGTTCGATAGGGATGTGGAAAAGGCAGTTGATGCCAAATCACCCACAGGCAAAAGCGAGTTTGAACCTTCATCGCCACGAGGATGGAAGAAAATGGTTCCCTTTGGAAGTACTCGATGATATGCCACCCAAAAGGGCAGGCAATGTTTGTTTTATTTAGATTGTTTTTGTCTCAGCAAAATTTGATATTTGGGTAATAGGCGCTCAGAACGAGGAAAGCTTGCACTCTGCATGTTATGTTTGCTTTATTTATTATTGTTTGATATGGTTCACTCTAATTTTGTGCACCCAGGAGGCAGCACAGGCACCGGCTGCATGCACCAAGTTGTCCCAAGCGCCATGCATGTTTCAGACATGTTGATGATGAAAATAACATCCGCATGCAGCCATGATTTCATTATTATTGTCTCTTCGTATTCTCGTTCCTTGAATTTGTTTTTTTTACCTCCACATCTTTCTCAATTTAGTCTCTTTTCCGTTTTTCTTTTTCTTTTGCACTTTGCCGCGTCTCTATAATTCTTCCACACTACACTGTCCATAGACTTGATTTTCTGGTAAACTTTAATTCCTCTGGCCAACTGATAAGTGATAAGTTCAATTCCGTCACGGATCCCTCTTCAAACCCCTCAGGCTCTGAAAGTATGTGGAGTAAGGGGTACCTGGTTTTTTACTTTCACTGTTCCTTAGATTTCTCTACTGGTAATAAGTGTTGTCAATTTGGGATACCTTAATCCGTACGGCGCAAGACATGCCCCAATTTGGCTTGGATATCGACTCCTACATTTAGACTGTATCTCCCTTAAATTCGTATCAAATGGCCTCAGCTTCGGATCTGATTACATTATTTCTCTCCAGAATCGATTTCAGCCTCATCGGTTTCTCCGACGTTTCATTCACAAGGGATACCGATGACTGCTCTCCCTGTTCGTTTATTTGATTCCTTGCATTTCTCTCTGCCAAGCTACTCCCCCGACCGATTCATCAGAATCTTATCTCCTTATATTCATACATGTATGTGCAACCGAGTCAATCCCTTTAACCGTATATTTAAATGCTGCCGCCGTGTTATTGGCATGAGGGGAGAGTTTTCTCTGTCTTCCTACACTGCATCTCATGCGCCGGGGTCACATTCATTTACCCATTTAGATTTTCTGTACCATACATCTCATTGATGCGTGATGCGCACGGCACAGTTCATCACATTAAATCATAGTTGTAACTCGGGGCGGGTTAGCTAAGAATAGTAGCAACATCGAAAACGTGCGCAACGTCGGTTCACAACAGCATGACGGCTTTTGTTCCCAGCAGTCTCGGTCTGAGGGCATGCACCGTTCTAGCTCGGTGGCCAAAGTGAATGTTGAATTTACCTGATGGGAGTTGCTTTTCATTCTTTGGACAACAGATACATAATGTAGTGGCAGTTCTGGTCCGGTCCTGCGCTTTGACCTCGCTAGACAATAATGGAGCAAAATTCAGGAGAATGCACGGCATACCTTATTTATGCATCGTACCGTAACCGCATTCTCATCTTTGGGCAACATAGCCGGTTGTTTGGCTTCCTCACGCTTATTTTTCTTTTCCAGTTCTCGGCTCGAAATACTCAGGACAATCCTGAGCTTCTCTAAATAAGTTAGTTACTCACCCCCTAACGCCTTTCTCAGCCTTACATGAAGCGATGATGCATGGCAGTGGAGCCGGATGCTATTCTTAGGATCACGCTAAACCAGGGACGTACTAGCGCGTAAACAACCTGAGATTGCTGTCAGCCAACCTCAGTTCGTTGGATTCAACAACACCGTCAACACCGCGACATTGATCGGTCATTGGTAATGTACTGTTGCGGGTCCAAATTGATGATTCAGTGGGCTACGACGGCTTAGCCGGGCTGCGATTGCGATTGACATGCCAAGGATTTCATTTCTGTGCTTATTTCTCTGAGCCTTGATGGAGCTCCTCATAAGCAATTATTATTAACCCGCATCCAAAAATAACAGCAAATGTTCATCACGCACTAGAGAGGCGCACTCCCGCCGCCTCACAACGCCCCACTCTGGCCTAGGTACGTTTTGGAAGCTCTTTTTGTGCAGCCTGCTCGATTAAAATGGCGCATGTGCGCTTGATTTACGACTCGTCTATCCTTCACCCACAGCTGTCCAACGAAACAGGGATTGTCTAACGAATGCACAAACGGGTGACAAATGGATGCTGGTCACCAATATAAAAAGTACAGGTCAAGAAATGCAGCTTGTGCGTCCCTCTTGCGTTCTGGGGGAGATTTTCATAAGCGGGCTGAGGCACTTTGTCGCCGATCGTAGGCGAAGCACAGGGATTCTGCTTCGAGCTGGCTAGCAGTGATTTCAGCAGCTTTATCGGAATTCAACAACCAACTCGGGACGACAGGGAATAGCACCAACCCCCTCGTCGTTTGAATGGGATGGAACTTGCGCCAAAATCAATATGTGATGGTGTTCTGGACCGCGAAGCATCATGTCGACTAGGAATAACAACCCCGTCTGTTCGGGAAAAAAAAAATGGAAAATAAGAATGTTGATGCACGCGGGGACAGGCTAACAATCTTTAGCTGCCCAACCGACAGTTTTAGTACAAGATGCCACAGTTCCACTGCGGCTTGGCCGCTGAAATCCGCGTTAGAGCCAATAGGAATGCTTCCAGGGTAGTGTTCTATTGGACCCTGTTCCCGGACTTGGAAATTTGCTGTTAGTTTTTGCGTAACACTAGCCTCCGCGAACCTCATGGGGTGTTAATAAGAATAGCTGACGTTTTCCCTCCTTTCGTTTCCGAACGAAAGCATTCGCTTTTGCCCGCAGAATCGTCCTATATGTCCGTTCACTTCACTCCATTCATGCTTTTCATTGACTAGATCTCTTGGTTATGAAACTCTCCTTGATGCTTTCAACACATCGAGGCCAGCAGTTGATTGTTTATTGACCTTCGTCCGGCGTTTTTACCCCAACTACATACTGCATGCAATCATCCTACCCTTACAATGTCCTCAAGCCATCACGATGAGCTACATTTCATTCCATTACATACACGATCATCAAGCTATTTATCCCAACCTAGTAACAAAAATTCATACCAACCTGTGCCTTCTTCATCAGACCCCGTCGACAGGGCAGTCTCCCCACCAATACCTTACCAAGACAATGGAGACACTCCTGCTTCGCAGGCAACCTCTACCTTTGGCTTAGGGATAGGTGACCGCAATTCTTTACCCCACGAGTCCAGCCCGGAAATCAGAAGAGATACAACCACCTCATACAACCCTCTACTAATGGGCCATAGTCCTCCGCAGGCCAGCACAGGCAGCACCCCGACCATTAACAATGGTAATCCGGGACGTGCCGGCCCGCAAAATTTCAATTGTCCCAGTGCTGGGAGTGTTCGTCACAGGCGCATGTCATGGCTAACAATCACCATATTGGTGCTTGCATTTTATTCTACCGCGCTATCTGGATTGTATATGATCGTTGCTTTTATTAAACCCAGGTATGGCAGCAGGATTGGGAAGGGTGGGTTGGCCCCCGATACAGCGTCACTTTTAAGCGCGCTATTTGCCAAAACCATCGAACTGTCGTTCGTCACCGTTTTTGTTGCGTTTTTAGGCCAGGTCCTGAGTCGGAGAGCAATCACGAAACGGGCAACAGGAATATCCATTGCGGATATGTCGATGCGTGGCTGGATTATGCAGCCAGGCAGCCTGATAACGCATTGGCAGCATGTCAGGCACTCCGGCCTCACTGTTATTGGGATGATAGCCCTGACCGCCACATTGATGGCTTTGCTGTACACGACTGCGGCGGATGCATTAGGTATGGTTTAGTCCTATCCTGCTATTTCCAACAGGCTATTAACACGCTGCTTCTAGTTTCGCCAAAACTTAGCTACAGCCCAGAAGAGCTCGTGGATTTCACAGGAACAGTGAAAACGAAGTTCGCAAACGTGCCGTACCTGTCAGACGATTGCTTAACCCCAATCTCCAAAGAAGTGGATCCAGAAGCTAGCCAAAGCACTTGTCTGCAGCTGTCCTATGTTGGGCAAGCCTACCACAACTACAGGGAATATATTTCGGAGTGGTCTTTGTTATCCAGAAATGGTGAGAAGGCTGGAACCGATATGAAAAATCGCATAGTGCCAGCCGGCACATGGAATGATAATACGACTCTTCGTGGGAGTTGGATCCACGAACAAGATATAATCGAGTCGTCTAAAAAGCACGGAAGAATGGTCAATAATGTCACTGCAGCGATGCCGCATGCTGGGATCATTGCAGCTTCGCGACATCCTCGCAATGCACTCAGGCAGCCAAGTGACTTCAATGGCCTTGGTGAATTTGAGCTGAAAGCCTCTGTTGTTTCACCTGTTGTTAACGTGCTCTGCGCGGGCTTGACGAAGGAGGAAATATCACCTCTTGTCTACAATGAATGGCCTGGAGTTCAAGGAAAGGTTAACGTTTCGACTTGGAATAGTGATCCTCCAGAAGGGCTCTGGGGCGAAGGGGGGAAATACAACGAAACTGCTGTTGACGATATTTTCGGGTTCAGCGAACGCAAACTTCCACCCATCTTTCCAAAATTGCCACTTCCGCACAACACGCTAGTGAATGGCACTTTGAGGTTCCATATTAGGGACTCGTTGTACATTCTACTTGCTTCTCCGCCATACATCACCGACCCCCCCTATGCCCTCTGCGCCATCAAAGCTGGGCTAACGACGCAATGCTCGACAAAGTACCAGGCAACCGCCAGCGGCGGTAATCTCGCCGCTATATGCGATGAGCCAGACGATGACTTTCGCTACAACAAGGACAGAAATGATCTTCCTTCCATCGAGTGGGACGAGAACTGGGAAGATATGAGCACCGAATGGGCCAATTCCCTCAGTCTCGGCACGGGCATTACAGACGGATACGCTAGCAACACTCGACTACTCACCCAACTCATTCCCCCCTTAGATCCTAATTCCGACACATATTCCCTCAGCGAGACCATACCGTCAGTGGCCGAAGCATTCGCCGCAATGGCTGCCTCAACCCTTCTCATGTCCACGGAAGGTGCCAACTTCGATCTCGAGCGCCCCGATCTAGAGAAACTCCCCATGGATCATACTTTTAAAGCCTCCCTTCGTGTCACTGATTATGCCTCCGGCGGTGCCCAAAGGTGGCAAGGCATTTTTTATGTGGTGCTCGTGCTCGTCTTCTTGACAAACCTAGTGTGCTTGGGCTACATGTATCTAGATATCAAGGGTGAGCAGTTGACGGATTTCACGGAGCCGCAAAACATGTTTGCCCTTGCGCTTAACAGCCGTGGCAGCTCGAAGTTGAGTGGTGCGTGCGGCATAGGACCTGTTGGGAAGCAGCTGTCGGAGCGCTGGATCATTGGTATGGAGGAGGACACCGAACATTATTACATCACCAGCAAGACGGAGAAAGCGGAGCTGCGGCAGCGAGAGCTTGCGGAGGAGCACTTGAAACCCACGGACAGTCCGGCGGTTAAGGAGTATCGGCGCATTTCGCGTAATAGGAGTTCGATTTCGATTTTTCATTGATGATCTGGGTGTTTTTTTCTCCAGTCCGTTTCGGATAAGCTGGTCTAGCTACCTTTACAGCCAATTGGGTTTCCTGTTTGCTTTTCGGCGAATCGTTACGATGATCGTCTTATATCCTACCCTGGCTTTGTGCGTTGGAAAGTGAGGGCAGTTTTCGGTTTCGGTTTTAATTGCTATTCCAGTTACGTGGTCAACCTTCCGTCACACTAAGGCAGTTTTCTATATACCCACCCACCCAGTCTTCCATAAAAACTTCCACGTTAATGATCAATATAATGATACTTTTATTACAAAATATATGGAGTTGCAGAAAAACCCACCTAATATATCTGGCGTACAGTCAACGATTAAACCTTAAAGGTGAGAAGACAAACTATGGGAGTTAGTAGGATCGAACGATGCCAAATGCCAATCCAGGGGAAACGCTGCGGCATACTCTTGGAAACAATAAACTCTAGGGACACACGACACAGTGAAAGTACTTAAAAATGGATAATAACAGATATCTAAAGGTATTGATCAATGTACAGTACAATTATGAGAAAACAAGTAGAAAAGATGGGAAAATGCAAAACCAAACATGCAAAAAGCCCTCCACCCCTAGCCTAGGGAACATATGACATGATACAAAAGAACAACCCAAGAAACCCAATCAATCCGACAGACCCTTCTTGAATCAATAATACTCCTCGAGATCTCCAAAGGATCCCAACTTGTCGCTCTCACATTTAAACTCCGGCTCATATGCCTTCTTCGGTAGAATCCCAGCATCGAGTCCCTTCTTATAGCTCCACTGCACCGCCGTCTCTGTCTGCCATGTCCAGTAGAACCATCCGTACCCCCTTTCAAACGCATACATCTGCGCTTCGGCGTACATCCGCAGATATTTCTTGTATGAGTCGGAATAATCGGACGGGTCTGCATTGGCCTGGTCACAGGAGCAGGGTGGGCCCTCGGCGGCGGGATCATCAGGCGGCCACTGGGTCGGACAGTGCGGTTTCATGACTCGGTCCTTAGCCTGCGGATGATCCATGGTACCGAGCCAACGACTGCCGACGTTAACGTTGTTGAGGAATTTGGCGCAATCGGTGTCAGCCTGGGACCATTCTCCGCAGATTGTGGGGCCCCAGCTATAAAAAATTGGAGAAGAGATCAGCTTGAAAATTCTGCATGGGGGGGGATATATCCGGTAAAAGCGCAGTCAACAGATAAAGCTTACCCTGTACCCTTTGTGTTTGACTTGGCAATCAGCTTAACCCAGCTCTCACACACGAAATCCAACTTCTTACGATGCGGTAGCCCAATCTGACCCGTATTAAAAACCGTATACTGATGCGTATCCAGCATTAGATTATCGTCTACATCCTGCATTATCGTTTTCCACTTCTCAAGATTAAGGAACCCATCCGCAAACGCAATCTTCGCGTCTTTCAAACCGCTCTTCCTAACTATCGAAATCGCCTTCGTATTCCAGTTAATAACAGATTCAATATCAAGCTTTAACATCATCGGCTCGTTCACTAAACCATATATTGTAACCACATTCTTATACCGCTCCTGCGCGAAGAATGTGGCCAATTGTTCGTGGATTTCGTGCGTGCGATCGCCATTCTTGGCGCCATCGGCGCCTTCCAGCCAACCGATGGAACCCTGCCGGCCGCTGTGGTTCCATCCGTTCTGACTACCTGGAGCGCCATGCATGTCGAGCTTGACACGCAGTCCGTACTTCCTGCAGTATTCAATCGCCCGGAGAAGATAGCGCCAGCCAACTCTCTCGACGTAAGGATCGTCGTCGTAGGTTTTAACGAGCCAGTAGGAGTAAGGGATGCGGACATGATCGAGCCCAGCATCTCGCATCTCCCGAAACGACTGCTCATTAATGAAAGTCGCGTAGTGCTTTTCTAGATACTGGGCCGCATTGGGTGCAAGCTTCTTGCTGAGTGTGTATTCGTCAACAATGTTATCTTTGTAGGAATAACCACTGAAAAACGAAGGGGTGATGAAGGGTTCGAGAGAGAGCCAGCCGCCAATATTGACGCCCCTGATCGGCTGTTTGCCGTATGGGAACTTCTTGTTCAATGGAGGGACGTTCTTGTTTGGTTGGGCTGAGTCGTCCCAAGATAAGTTCAGGCCCATGATGGGAAGGCCACCGACGGTTTCAGCAGTGTATGTGACATTCATGTCCGCCGTGTCATACCATGTTCGGGGGTCGAAGTACGTTTTCTTAGCGCTTTCCTGCAATAACTAAATATCAGCCATCCATCTGTCCCCTCCGGACACGACTAGAAAGAAAAATATCAAACTGGATCTTACCGGGAGTGTATCTGGGTCAAAGTTCTCCAGCTCAGTCCTTGGTGGATGTGGTTGGGAACCTGGACCGCTCGGGTTATCCCCCGAGTCACCACCAGCACCCTGGTCGCTGTTCTTATTTTTTGATACCACAACGGCAATGGGGATGATAATAATCAGGAACAATGCCAACACTCCAGCAGTGACCCATAATTTTTTCTTCTTGCTCCAACCAGCAAATCCACTCCCTCCCCCATCATCACCCCCTCCGCCTCCACCTCCTTTTCTTTCTTTCTCATCCTTCCAGGCGCCGCGCCCCCCACCCCCTCTTGTCCTCAGCTCCGGACTCCTCCCCTCCTCCAGAAAAGCACCAGAAACCAACCTCCTCCCGGGCCATCCCTTACCCTTCGCCCCTTTTTCAGCCGAAATATCCCTCTCCCTTTCCCTAGCTTCTTCCCTCCTCCTTCTTTTCCTCTCCTTCTCCAACAGAGCCTTCTCCTCTTTCGCTACCCTAGCCTTCTCCGCCGCCTCTGATTTCATCTGAGCCGCGTTCAACTTCGCCAGCGCATCCACGCTGAGCAATTGTGTCGCACTATTCGCCGAATCGGTACTAGCATGCTTATGTTTATTACTCCGCGCCCCCTTTTCCCTCGGAAGATATTTATCTGTCTCCCTCCTCCTCCTATCCCTATTCCTCTCCCTTTCCCTCTCCCGATCCCGATCCGTGCCAACCCCACCGCGGACCTCACCATCATCGTCATCGTTCAATCCCCTTCGCCTCCGGTCCCTGACACGCCCCTTCGTCGGACTATGCTCGTCCGCCGTACTGTCCCTCCGCCGTCTTCCCTCGCGATCCCGCTCACGATCTCTTTTCTTTATAGGCGACGTTGCAGGCGATTCTTTAGCTTTATACCTCGAATCCCTGATTCCAGGATTATACGTATTCTCAACACCCCGACTTCGACTGCGCCGCCTCTCGACGCGGACCGGACTGGGTCTGACATTCGGTGGGCGCGCAGAGTTCGGCCGCGAGTCGACAACTATGACAGCTGATTCCGAATCGTCACCATCGTCATCGTAGTCGTGGTTGTGATCGTAATCTGTGCGACGCGCGCGCCGCTGTGGGTGTTGTGGACGTTGCGATGCGTACTGCTGGGTTCGACGAGCCGGTGTGGGGCGAGTTTGGGCGTGGGAAGAAGAATTTCGACGGGGTTGTCTGCTGCGTCGCCGGTCGTCAAACACATCATCGTCATCATCGTCGTTATCATGCTGGATATCATTGCCGTGGTCGTCGTATGCATCAGAGATATATTCGTAGGTATCGTGGGTGTTTCCGCGCTCGTAGTGGTACTGTCGTCGATCACGATCTCGAGAGCGGTATTCACCCCGCTCTCGTTCGCGCGAGTGGTGAGGCATGCATGCGACTTGTGCTGCTGCTGCTGGCCTCTATATTTAACTTATGTATTTATGCCTAGCTTTCCCAACAGCCAGTGTCTGAATTGTAAAAACGAGAGCAGGTATATCTTCGCCTCGCAGGCTCCAATCGCGAAAACCGAAAACCGAAAACCGTATCCCGCGAACGAGGCGGTCGTAATATCCTCCACAAAACCGAACAGCCTATGTTTCCTTATCCAGCATCCCCAAAGGTAAACAGGAGTGAGAGTGGACGATGCGCTCCTCCCGCGCAGCGGAAACGACCGACGAAGTTCCAAAGCGGGGACGTTCGCGCTTATCCAACTCGGTCCAACCCAACCCAACCACAGTCCAAATATCCCACAGTCCGTTCAATCCCACGTCCACCCTCAATTCGGCCTAATTCAATGTCGTGAACGGCGGCGCGACGTGGGTGGGGTGGTGCGTGGTAGTTCGCGACGTGTACGTCGGCCGTGTTAAATATTCGGCCTGCCAGAACACCAAGCGAACGGATACAGGAGTAAGAATGTAGGTAGATAGCTTGAATAAGCCGCGCGATTTAATTGATATCTGGGATTCGTTGTTTTGTTTGCTGCAAAGGTAGTAAGCAAGCAAGTGGTATTAATTGCCCATGAATGTGCGGGCTTGCGTGAGTCGGGTTCGGATTAAATAAATATCGAAGGATGAGCAGCTGAAAACAGACGGGCGCATTCAACCGAGAGTAAGAAATTTTCAATAAAATATTCTTTCTGTATAAAAGAAAATAGCCAAGACAGAACGTAGAAGGGATAAATATAACAGATTCTATTTACTTGAATTCTAAGACACATGTAAGTTAAGTAAATAGTTACTTTGCAACAAGATTGGACGATTCCTCACAACCCTTGCTTTGGTATTGCATCACTTCACTAACTACTACTAATAAATACCTATCATACACACTACTGGCCAAGTTGCGCATAGCCGAAAAGAAAGAAAAAAAAAAAGTCATTCCTGCACAATAAATTGAATAAATCTCGCGTAGTAACATCATCATCTTTACCTTGATTGGCGGCCGGAGCATGGTTGCCGTAGCAACGGAGCATAAAATATACATTCCACAGAACCAAAAACAACCCACCCGTGGGTCAGGAACAGAATAATAGATATGTGTTGCATAAACTGCTATATGATGATGGTATCCTAAATCCTCTTCTATCGTACAAGTACAATATAAGTTGGCTCGCACAGTAGAATAATAGTATATCGCCGTGAGGGCGTATCAAATCGACGAAATCTTCCTAGCTAATGTAGCTTTCTATTTGAGGGCATGGGTTAAATGGGGAAAGAAAGGACTATACAGAGTATAGTGTTGAAGACTGCGTTTAGCCACGCGAGCTTGAGCGTAGGACCAAGAAAATAGTGTTCGAGAGCAGGGAAAAAGGGGGAGGGGAATAAGATGATAAATTCACTGGTTTACTTGAAACAAGATGTTAATCCTCGGCAGAAAAGAGAGGAAAATGTTGGGAAGCACAATTGAAGAACAGAGGTTTTAAGATAGGAGATCATATTCAAAAATCAGCATTAAAAATCAAAATTAATCAAATATACGACGGGCAACAGAAATGGGGTATGTAATGCAGGTTATGTTAAAAGATAAGGGAAACCCAGAGAAGAAAACCTCCAAAACCGACAAGCCATCCATGAATAAATCAGTTGTGAGTGATGAAAAATAGAAAACGGTATTAGTAATGGAAAATGGAAAGAGCACAAAAAGCCAAAAGTCATCAGAGAATAGTAGGGGAAAAAAAAAAAGAAAGAAAGAAAGAAAAAAAAAGAAAGAAAGGAAAGGAAAATTAAAAGGAAAATATGACACATGCCTAAAAAGGGGAAAAGGAAGCAGAAAAATTAAATAGCCGGCCTGCGAATGCATTTATAAAAAAGACATGCCAACAGATGGGGGGCTCTTGAGCGGCGAGAAAGGGGGTTCCCTTCGCACCCCATGTGCGGGAACGAATGTGAGCTGGTTGTGATTGCCATACCCTGCCCTGAATTCATTCAGGGAACTGCTCTATTGCCAAGTGATTTGCGTTGGTTCTTTTCCAATGTTCCTTTCGGTTCAGGCGACCCAGCGTTATAACGTCCTCGGCAACGGTCCAGAATGAAGGGCTTTCGCAGTCATTGGCGAAACACTATTCAGCGGCACTGCGTTGGGTGTTCTAGGTTGCCAAAATCACGAATGGAAGTGTGTGTTCGATGTCAAATAGGCTATAGCGCTTGGTTGCCCATTAGGCTAATATTCAACCGTCTCGTAATGGATAACTTGCAGTTCGCAGCAATTCAACGCATAGTGGGAGATGACAGGCAGTCCTCTCCACCTCATCAGAATGCCGTCATTCTTAGGTTAGTATGATAGCAGGGTTCCCTTTCAGACCAGAATGTTGAACGGCGAGTTTTGGATCCAATGCTTCGGTGGTTGAACTTGTTGAACACCCAAAGTGTCATCATATTCCCATTCTCATCGCCAAAGCGTATCACCATAAGAACGTGGTACAAGTTGAAACAAACACGAACCGTGCAGCATTTCGACAGCAACTCCCAATGGGACATCCCAAGGCAAACAGCCCTGTTTGTAAAAAATCACAGCTCAAACCTCCCAACTCCATTTTCCACCCAAAGCCTCAATCCCATTCATATCGTGCTATTTTGAGATTTCCATCATGATCCCCTCGTTAACCGTCAACTACTAATAATCTGTCTCGCACCCTCCTTACCAAGCACACCAGGCTCCATCGGTTTGGGGCTGCGTTCGCGGCCCTTCTTGCGGGTGAGAAACGAAAGCATCCCACTATTGGATCCGGAAGCGGCCCGGGCCTTATTGTTTTCTCCACCCTCATATCCGTCCGCTAGAGATGAGCTGTGATCCGCAAGATTACTCCAGCTTCCTGTCTCTTCTAGCACCATTTGTACGCCACCTCCTTTGCTCATATTACGGGTCGCACCGCGGGGGAGTTGAGGGCCCGGGGGTGGTGGTGGACGGTACGGTTGGGAATGTACTGGTGATGTGGGCACAGGCCGCGAGCGTCTTGGAGGAGAACCAGATCTTGCTCCACTCTGATGCCTATTTGGTTCGTATGGATAACGATCGGATTCGGGAAAGGAACGAAGCGTGTCGGAAGCGTTTGATCGACTAAGAGACCTTTCTGTATGGAGTGAAGGTGAACCACTTACTGAGCGGGGCTGGGAGGGGTTTCGTGCGTGTGATTGGCTGGCAGCGGTGTGGAGGCAGTCCTCGGGGTTACTAATACGACAAAATGAGTTCACGTTAGGCGAAATGGAGAAAGGGGAATCTAACCTAGAGGCCGCGATTGCAGCTGCAGCGGTACTATTGGGGTTGTCAGCAAAGTTACACCAGGAGTTCGAGGGTGAAATAATAACATACCCTTGATAAGAGACCGTTGTGTAGTCGAACGGCTCAAACATGGTCTCGATAACCCGATGAAGTTCGTCTTCTCGTATTTCTTTCGCCGTAGCATCGTCTTTCAATTCTGCTCTTGGCTTTTGTCGACGGGCTCGTGCTTCCAATGGCGCCTCTTCTAGGAGTAATTCTTCGAGGTCGTATGTCGCATCAAAATTCGTCTTTTCGCTGGATGGTACGAAGATGGGGAGAATCTCTTTCCGTTCCAAGGCCCCAAAATCAATATCTTCAAAGAAAGGATGATCCTCAAATGTTTCAAAGCCGGTCGCGCCTATTCGTTTTGACCGGTCTTTTTCTAGAAGAGATGCGATCGCGCGTAGACAGGGCACCGTGACTGCAGGATTCGTAACGTAGTATTTTGGTTGCGCTCGTCGAATGTTTTCCGATAGAGTGTCGTGGCTCCGTCCCTCGAATGGGCGCTGCATCCTGTTAGCAATGTCTAATCAGATATTAGATGTCAAAATATGTATCTTACCTTGTTATAAATGCACTCGTAAAAGGTGACGCCCAGGGACCACCAGTCGACTTCGTTCAGATATCCTCCCCCCTCGAAAACCTCAGGCGCCAGGTATGCTAACGTGCCCGATTTGCTTGTAAGTGGTTTTGATGGTTTAAAGTCTGAAGCAACATTCTAAATGGCAATTAGATCCAATTCTAGGTTTTCTGCGTTGCACGAATACTACTCACAAAGTCTGCCAAGTGAACATGTCCCTCGGAATCCAACAGAACGTTATCCGGCTTTAGATCACGGTGGATTATGCCTTGTGAATGTATATACCTCAGGGCGCATGCCAACTCAGCAACCCAAAATCGCACAGCGTCTTCCGTGAAAGTTTTTCTTGATATATGGAATCGAAGGTCCCCTCCATTCATTAAGTCTACCACAATGTATCTACATAAAATTAGCATATATTTCCTGCTATGCTATGATGGCATAATCGGTGCAATCGGACAGCTTACATGTACTCGATGTCCTGGAAGGAATATCTCAAGTTGCACAGGAACGGGTGGTTCAAATGCTCCAGCATTCGCCTTTCTCGTATGATATTTCGAACGCTTTCGGACCGGACAACTGAAAATAGCCGATATAAACATCAGAATTTGGCAGACAGAAGGGTTATCCGCATTAAAAGCCTACCTTCATCTTTCCGGATGTATTTTAGAGCGAATGTTAAACCACTATCCTTGCGTTCAACGATCCGTACTTTACCAAACGCACCCTTTCCAACGACACGCAGCAAACGGAAGTGGTTTAAGTTGACTGTGTAGGAATGCCAATGAATGAGTTCCTGTTAAAATGCACGGAACGGAGATAGTTGAATAGATAAATAGTAGCAGGATGGTGAACGAACCTGCATCTGAATAGCACACCTGCTTCCCCTGGGAATTGCCCATTGCGACCCGGAAAAGAGCTTAGTTACTAATATCCCAATTCCAGCCTACTGTTGACACTGCATCACCAGCAATAAACGAAATCCCGAGACTTGAACGGGTCAGACGGATTTTGCGAGCGCAGACGCAGACGATTGGTCTAGTTTGTCGAGTGGCGGGTATTTCAGCGGGTGTGCTTTCTCCGATGAAGTGTGTAGGGAAGGCTGGAGGAGAGCGGAGAACGAGGAGGTGGTGAACGCGAAAAATTGAACTACAATCGTGTTCGCTGGTTGTTAATAGAATGAAATTGACAATCCATCAACGATTCGACTATGACGAGCAACGGAAAGCAAGATAGTAAACAAAACAGGCTGGAATGTGCGCCGGTGGACGATGGCTAGAGAGGACTCTCTCGTCAGGTATGTGGCAACGTCCACGCTATTCAAGGCATAAATGAGTGGGGGGGGGTGGGTCTAGGAAGAAAGAGGGATTCAAGAGCAACAGCTCAAATTGATCCAGGGACAGGCCTCATCCGCTGGGTAGAATATGGCGAGGTGTGAAGAGAACGAGGAAGGCTGCGAGGCTAGACTTGGAGATAGATGGCGACAAAGACTTGGAGCAAGGGGATGTTGGGATGTGCTTACCCTGCGACCACGGAAGGATGAAGACACGGGGAAAAGAAGCCAAGGCGCCGTCCCTGTTAGATTCGCAAGGTTCTTTGGACTACCAGATCTCGATTGACTAAACTAAAACTGGTGGAAAAAGGCGTGGAGAGGAGGAGCCCAGACAGAGATAGAGAGAAGTCAGAGAGCTAGTGAATACAGCGTAGAGAGACCTTCGCCAGCAGCAGCTCTTGTTTCCCCCGGACAGTTGGATATCCCAGTTTACTGGATCGAATCGGGAACAATTTGCCTAGGACTGAGAAGACAAATTGCATTCCTCTTTGGGGGGGGGGGGGGTGAGTGGGGAAACTGGCTGGGAGAAGACGGGGGGGGGGAGAAGGGGGGGGGGAGAAGGGGAGAAGGGGAGAAGGGTTAAGGGGATGAAGGTAAATCAGTTGATATAAATTATAGAACACAAGCTAGCACAAGTATCTCTGGCAGTCGAGAGAAGAAGTTGGATACACAACGAGAAAAGAAAAGGGGACAAGATGTTGGCTGAGAAGAATAACGTTGGTGTTGGTGTTGTTGTTCTTGAGCTGGAGGAGAAATAAGGAGACTTATTTGCTGGCGTGGATGATCGTGGTGAAGACACACGCTTGCTGGATGCTCGCTAGTAAAAACGTCGCTATGATGATACAGCAACCACGAGCCCAGAAGTAATATAGCAAATATAGCAGAGCTCTGCTTAATGCCCTTTGATGATTCTTTTTTTTTTTTTTTTTGTTGTTGTTGTTGTTGTTGTTGTTTCTTTCTCTTTCTCTCTGTCTGTCTGTCTGTCTGTTATCGATTGAGCTGGAAAAAGAAAATATACGAAGAACACAATATTAATAATAATAATAATAGATGCTTGCATGTTCATGTGTCTTTTCTTTTTCTTTTCTTTTCCTTTTTTTGCCTTTTGAAACGCCAAAATATCCTGCAATGCGTTATGTATCGGTTGCATGGTATTGTACCGGTGTGTATGATATCGTATTTTTATGAATTTCTCCGCTTCTCGTCCGTACTGTTTTCTGTTTCCACCCGTATCAGCCTCATCTCTCTATTCTCAATTTCTCATTTTCCCTCGCCTCGCCAATAATACTTTGGCCTCGCTTGAAAATGCATCGCGGGGAAGGCCATGCGGCGTCTTTGGCTTCACCAGAACCAAAAAAACCTCGCCTCCCCAGTCCCAATCAAACCCGCAGCGAGCTCGCATGGTCTCGCGTGTGGGCAAACTACCTCGTGGGCGCCACGTTTCGAACCGGTTCAAGCCAGGCCAGACCCAGCCCGAATTACTTCAAGCCACAACCCAATCACCGCTCGCCCCTCAGTGCCACCAGGCTCCAAGTGCTGAAACCGGCCAACCATTAGCCCAACCAGCCCCCGCTCGCAGCCCTGGCTGGACACGCCGAACACTCAGGAAACGCCAAACCAAAAGGGGCGAAAGAAGAAGTCAGGAGTGATCAAGTCTGGGTCTGCAAACTCTGGGCGGTTGAAGCCAGAATATACGGAGTACGGAGTACAGGTTGGAAGTATTTCGTTACTTCGAGAATAGCTGTCCAGTTCAGACTTGAATTCTCATCTCATCCCCCGCCCAAAATTCATGATGCCTTGAAAGTTGAGGGCTCCCAGACAGGTCAACATCTCAGCGGGTTGAACTAAATTTGCCAACGATCGCTCAACCCGTCAAGCGGACGCCGCTCCTGTGCCGACAACCAACAATCCCATCCAAAAAGAATGCCCGATGGGCAATCCTGAACAGGGCCGGGAAGCCCATTCTGTGGCAACTAATAATAATAATAGCTCTGGGAAACAGTACTCCGTATTAGAAAATCAATCTCATGCCAGCAACAAAACACCTTTTTTATTTTTCTGTTTATTATTTCTTCCTCTCCTCTGAAACATCAGGCTGGCTGGGTACGCAGCGTACCGAGGCGTGGAGAATAAGTCCTTGCATACACGCTAGAAATTTATATTGAAACAGCAGTACCGGAGTCAAATTGCTCCGCCCGAACCTTCAATGTTTAGGGGCTCAAGCCTCTATTACGCATAGTAGATAGAGACTCAATACGGAGCAGTGTCCGACCAGCTAGATGACGGGCACAACAGGCATCAGCAGAGCCTGGAATCGCCTCTAAACAGTTCTGAAGGGGATGATAAAATCTTTTACCAGGTAAATTACTAGTGTTTGCAAAGGACATATTTTCCACGCGCCTCCGTATGAATAAACGCCTCGATTTAGCCACGGCTGATTAGGCTTGTCGCCGCGCTTCTGAGGAAATGCGCTAAAACCTCACTAATCCAACAGAGACGAAAAGTTAGCGAGACTGTCCTTCTAATAAGTTAACTACCTCTTGCAAAATTCTTTGCTACGTCGTCTGCGCGATCGTCAAGTCCGTCCTTGATCATTCTGGGTTCGCCCTGCTCAGAGCTCCCTGATGATGGCGCCCCAAAGACTGTCGTCATTTCTTAGGAAAGCTTCGTGGTGGGTGATTAATAAGATATTATTAATCATCTGAATCCAAAGGATCATTCATCACTTTGGTAGGTTTTCCCCGAACTGCTTCAATCTGCTTCAATCAACCCAGTACTCCGTAGTATATTTGCTGGTGGGTTTGGTGGAGATGAAAGTTTTCTCATTATCTAATAATGCACAATTATGTAGGCTACTGGGGCAAAGAGCTCAATCACCACCAGCGCCTGCTGGTAGAAGGGCCGACCAACCGCGGGACCCCCAACAAATTAAACCTCCAATTATACATTTATTAATATTATCTCTTATGGCGCCCCCATTATTATTGGAATCCAATCACCCAACCTTGAGAAACAACTCGATTTCCTCAACCCCTCTCAGCTGCCACAAAATGATAACATAACTACGCTGCGTACGGCGTAAAGGGGCCGGAAAATATCGCAATACGTCACATTAAACAAATCTATGTCAGATTAATAATAATATTATTATTGCTGTTGTCTCCCTTGTCATGATCGGCAGGGCTAAACTTCTCCCAGCGATACGATACGATACAACCCCTACAACAACAAATGAAGTATAGTAGACTCACTAGAGCCTGGCAGACACGGTGATACGGAATATCTTCTAGAGGTGGAATTGAAGATTTACATTTTCCAGTCAGGCAAAGCTGGGTCTTGGAATTCTTGTTGTTGGGAGATGGATGGGATTTTGGAACTTCTATGAATCGATATAAAGTTCAATACGGAGTACGGCCGCCTTCGCAAAAGTTCGATATCCTCAGACCCAGACACCCTCCACATTTATCACATCAAATCAGGCCAACGAGAACTGAATTTCCCAGGTTACCTATTATTCACAACTGCCATCTGGTTCGGCACTGAACTGGAACCCAGATGAGTGAGCGTAGTCTCATCTCGGGGTCTAAACCCAGTCAAAACCGCCTTGACGCGCCAATGGCCAATGGCCTTTGCATCCGCTCAACCTTTATACCGTGACGATGATGAACCAACCATGCAGGATGGATCCCAGAAAATCCTTGTGGCTAGAGATAATTCGTTGAGAATTGCAGGATTATCCTGAAAAGGTTGCGCTGCTTTCTACCGGACAACAGCAGCACCCAACCCAGGTCAAAGTGCACGAATGACACCCCTGAGTGATTACAGTGGAACTTCATTCCTGACTTGTTCAACGTTGTACGGCATTTTATTCCGTTTGTAGAAATTCCCTTGAACGCAAGGCGCCTCAACAAACAAGCCATATTTCAGGAACAGAAACTATCAACTGATACGCAACAAATACTTGAGAATCGGAGTCAACTAAATTCAACCACAAATACCTAAGCTAGTTATTTACGTGACACCGTCATGAACGGGACGAAAATAAAATACCAACGAGCGAAGTTCTATGCATCAAACAGGTGCCACCACAGCTGGCCACACACCTCCTGTTCGTTCCCAAAACTCTGCCGTGCCATGCATGCATCCTCAACCATGGAAGGGGATCTGCGAATCCCCAAAAGCAAAAAGAAAATAATGGGCGTGACACGTGTGTGAAGTGGAAAACTGCATGTGCTTATTTTCCAGTCGACTTTTCAACAAAAATTGCCTCTTGGCAGCTTGGCTCACCAGTGCCTCGTTCTGATTTAAATAAAGGAATGACAGAAATTGATGCTCCCAGCCACCACCACGTGGGAAGCTTCTTCTTGGATGGGTTCTTTCTGTCGCTTTCCGTTTCACCAGGGATTTTCCATTTTTGCGCTGTTTTTGGTCTGCCCCTTGTTGTTGGGTCAGCCCTCCCTTTCGCCGTGCTATGATTGGCTTAACTGCCCAAAATACTCACCTCAAACCCCGTTTATCAATTCGCTCAGCTGCACTTTTTAGAGCATGGCAGCTCGAAGCACCTCGTTGGACTTCAGAGGATGATCCCCACTCAATTCGCTGTCGAGAGTTTCGATATAAATCTTGAGCCACGCGGTTCTTCCTCGGAGAACCCATGCAAAATAAATATCGGCAATTCACTCCCAGGGTTTAAACATGTCACGGCTCGTTTAGACAACATGGAATCTGGCAACCCGAAAGGGATCGGAGAAATTTTGCTGATTGTTTCTGGATGCCATCCCCTCCCTAGGAAGTCCGAATCATTCCTTCGCTCTTTCATCAAGTCAGGCATCCAGTGCTAGCCACCGGATATGGAGGCTCAAAACACACATACCCATCCTCAGGGGCCTAGCTCATTGGATCCATGCACCCTCTCGACACCTTCAGCCCCCCAGACGCCAATTCCCGAACCTCTGCGGCCCAAAAAATTCTTCCATTGCCGATCTTGCTAGCCACTTCACCGCATCTTGGAGGAACTACATTCATGCATTATTGGCAATAATAGCGACAGGCCGATCGAATAACTGGAAACAGGGCCTGCGTCCTGCGACATACGACAGACGACAGACGACAGACGACAGACGCATGGCCTTTCTTCTTGTCACCACTTTTTCACGCGTGGCTTTGAAGTTAAACTACTTACAGCCATAAAAAAAAGAAAAAGAAAAGAAAAGAAAAGAAAAGAAAAAGAAAAAGAAAAAGAAAAAGAAAAAGAAAGAAAAAAAGAAAGAAAAAAGAAAAAGGAAACGATTAATACGGCATGTATGCACGCCACAGACTCCATTGCCTCCTTGTCATACCTCTGTCCATGCTGTGATACCTAGTTACTGTATCTGGCTGAAGATCGTCTGTTTCAGTTAGTGAATAAGCCCCAAGTTAACGAGCCGGATGAAAGACGCGCAAAGCGCAAGGGTAGATTGGGAGTTGCGAGAAAGAGAGGGAAAAAAAAAAAAAAAAAAAAAAAAAAAAAAAAAAAAAAGAGAGAGAGAGAGAGAAAGAGGGAGAATTATTTCTTTCTCAGTTTACGTGTAGTGTAGCAGTGTAGCATGATGGGCTTAAACAAAGAATAGAAATCCGTAATGCCGTATATAGGGATACTATAGATGAACATCATTATCCAAAAGATACGTACGAATTACGCAATCTCGGGGGTAATGATGGTTTGTTGCAAGGGTCCTCTTTATACAACCATATACTATGTATGTATCGTCGGTGGGTTGCTCAAGGCGGTGCGCCGTAATTATTATCGATGGGACTGCTATAATGAATTTGCCCAGTGTTCCTCTATCAATGCAAATTTCAATCGTGACATCATTAAAATAAACAAAGATACATATACATCACCCCTATGTGACAGACACTCTATTACTCTATCATGTAGTTTGTCATTTTCCGTTGTTCCCAAACAAGCCGCACGTCCAGTATGACACGACCAAAAATTGTGATTATAGGCAGGCAAGAAAAGGGGCAATTAAAAGGGGAACCACCTAGCTTCTAGAAGGAATCGAAGGCCCCATAGAAAGGAAGAACAAAACCCCCTTTTGAAAAAAAAAAAAAAAAAGAAAAAGAAAAAATCAGATCTAGATCATTTCCCATACCCAACAACCATATGCAAAACCATATCCAGCCCAAATCCCACCTAAAGTCGCCAGACATCACAGATATAAATATTGGAAAAACGGCAAAGAGGGCCGCTCAGCATATGCTCTGGCCCTTGTCTAAAGAGCACATGGGCTTCAAAAATAACTGTCTACCCTTCACCACCTCCGCCCATAAACAGAGCTTTCAGGCGTGGGCTGCCGACTACTATTCTTGCTCTGCATAAGCGGAGGCGTCGCTCTTCGACTTTGATCAGACGTGGACACGCCATGAAGAAGCCGATCGTCGTCATCTCTCGACCCTAGCAATCTTGTCTTCCCCGAAAGATCCAGCTTGTGATCATCCTCACCACTGTACCGCGCGCTAGCTTCATGGCTGAAGAGCGCCATCATATCCTTCATGGTGAGTTTGGCGGCGGCGGTCTTGCCCTCAATGGTGGCGTTGGCGAGTTCGCGTTTGCGTTCTTGAAGGTCGACGATACGCTCTTCCACGGTACCCTTGATGGTTAGTTTGTAGATTTTCACGTCGACCGTTTGGTTAAGGCGATGGACGCGGTCGATCGCTTGTTCTTCGACGAACTGTGATAGTCCGGTTAAGTGTTAGCCTAGATTTTGGAATTTTGAAAAGAAAAAAGCTTCGTGGATGGTGGAGACGGATCATACCGGATTCCAGAAGGGCTCCAAAATGACAACTCTGCTCGCAGCTGTTAAATTTAATCCGAGGGAGCCAGCACGCAAACTGCAGAGAAGTACTCTAGTCTTCGGGGAATTGCGTAGCCTATCAAGACTGTGTTCTCGTAGGTCGTTTCTCATCGCACCGTCGTAGCGCGCATAGCCAATATGAGAATCCTTCAGGAAGGGTTCGATTTTATTAAGCATAGAGGTGAAGAACGAAAAAACGATGAATTTGTAGTCCCCAGACTCTTTTTTTAGAATCTTCATTAGATGTCTAATCTTTGTCGAAGCAAGATGATCTGGAGTTTCGGGCTCATCATCGCTTTCATCGCCATCAGTTTCGTCCACATCCTCGTCAGAATCGAGATTGATAACTTCCGTTGTCTTCCCTGAGCCGTCTCTAGTTTCGTCTTCTTCATCCTCGTCGGTTTCAGAATCATCAGATCCTAGCCATTCACCGCCACCTTCAGCATCCTCATCATCAGTTCCACCAGTGTTCCCAAGTTTTTCAACCTGTCGTTCACCATCTGGAACAAGCCATTCCCCGTCATCATCTTCGTCGTCACTGTCGACAATGAGACGCTGCTTTTGCAATCGCACTCGACGCACTTCAGAAATCTCAGCGGACGAATTACGATCTGTGGATTCCCGGTGTTTCTTTTTATTCTTTAACTTCTTATCTTTCTTCTTCTTTTTCTTATCGCTCTTTTTCCGAGGGCTAATGGCTTGAGTCTGCAGATCGGCCTCGCATTCCGCACATCTACTCGCGCCACTCGTTGCTTCCTTGGAACTCAGCTCTGCCTGACAAACATCACAAAGTTTAGTCGTGACGCTTAGTCCACACATAAGATTAGCGATGCTATCAATATCTTCTTCTCCCTTGGCCGTTTTGGATTGGCTATTGCCTCCAAAATTGTTCATCAACACATCTTTGTCTTGAGCAAGGTCACTCTTTACAAGATCAGGATGATTGCACGCCTGGCGGAGACGAAGGAGAAGAACCAATGCGCTTGCATAGTTGATATTGTCGCCGCCAATCATGCGTTCTAGAGTCTTATCAGTCCGCTGTTCCAGCCGTTTGTAAAACGCCCGTTCCGCGGGGGTGAATTCCGCCTCAACTTTCAAGACTTCGCGATTGGTGATTCTGAATCCGTGTGGCGATTCCTTGTTTTCTCCCTTACTGTCAGAGCTTCCCTGACCCAATCCGCCATCCAATTTCAAGACATCTTTCGTCCGACGCTTCATAAACGCTTTGAGATAAACTTGTAGCCTCCGGATGGCTAAGCCGCCTCTCCCATTATTTAATGGTTTAGTGATCTGCTCTCGCCATGCTGCAAGATCATTGTACGGTTTAATACGGAGGAAATTGATCAAGCTCTGTAATTCATCCAGATTATTCTGCATGGGAGTACCAGTGAGACACCACCTATATTCAGATCTCAGTGCACAGGCCGCCTGGGTTGCTTTGGCATTGCGGTTTTTGATGGTATGTGCTTCATCAAGGATAATTCTGTACCAATGGTTGGCGAAACATCCTGTAGGTTTCTTTTCGGAGCTTGCATGCTCGGAACTGAGGGTACCATATGTGGTAATCACAACATCGAAATGCGATAGACTATCGGCGTGTTTCGTTCGCTGAGGTCCATGATATACACAGACGCGTAATCGGTGGGAGTCTGTAACTTTGCTCTCAATTTCGGATTCCCATTGCTTAATCAGTGCAAGGGGTGCAACCACCAATGTGCCTTTCCCAACTTCAGCGGGTATTTTCTTCTGTTTTTTATCTTTGTCCTCCATGGCCTCCACCTTTTCTTTTGGGTGGCAAGGGTTCGTAAGCATCAATGCGATCGTCTGAATGGTTTTGCCCAGACCCATATCATCAGCGAGAATTCCGCCTTTGGGAATCACGCCTCGTGTCTTTTTGACACCAGATTCCTTATCCCTCATCCAATCGACGCCCTCTCGCTGGTGGGGAAGGAGTTTGATCTTCAACCCCTCAACAGTGCCATCGTCTTCTTCCTCCTCTTCCTCTTCCTCGTCTTCTCCCTCGTCAGCGGTCCCACCAACAGCAACTTTCTGAAGCTTACTAGCAAGAGCATTGATCTCGTCCTCAATCTTTTTTCGACGCTGCCTCGTGCGAGGTTTATCATCTTCATCCTCAAAAGCGCCTTCCAACAGAGCCTTGATATTCTCATTTGCCTTTTCTACATCAACATAGCTATAAGCATCCATGGCGCCAATTTCTTCTTCATAGAGCCGGGCGTTTGTCGCAGTGCCAGTAAGATCGATGAAATTCTGCAAGTTGCTTAACGGTCTTGACATCTTCGGCTTTGTTAGAGAGGTGAATATAGGGATGGGAGCAGGTTGCGTGGTGCGATTGTTATTTGACGGCTTAACTATCTCGTATACACTGTCATCGCCTGGTAGCCTTCGAGAATTGCTGTACTCTGATGGCTTTACAGGTCGCAGGGGATCGTATCCTGTATATCTCTGACTCAGGGAGGAAATACTGCCTCCATGCTTTAGGGTCGTGGTTGGTGCCTGGTCATGATTGAGTCGATAATCCTTCCCCTGGAGTTGTGCTTCGGGTCGTGGCGGCGGCTGATGATGTTCTGGGCGTGGCTTATTGGCCTTCGGCATGATGAACGGGTGGCCCTTGCTCTGATGTAATGAACTTAGGGGAGCTGATTGCCCAAATCCTGGCTGCGAGGACTGTCTACTCTGGGCCTTGTCGTTCTTTTCTGCCGGAAGGCCAGGGGCCCGTGGAGGCTCTCGTTCCTTCACCATTGTTACAGATCCTCAGGTCCCCAGATCTTACCCAGACCAAGATTTTCCGGCGGTAAGAAGCCAGTAATTCTCACTGGCCCTGTCAAATTTTCGTTTGTCGTGGAGCCAATACCCTTCTATAATTCAACGCCAACTAACCGGGTCGTTCGTGTTCTATTATATTGACGGTGTGGGCGGATATCTGCTTGGAACATGGGAAAAATAAACGTATTAGTCTGATATCTTGATTTGAGGCAGCCTGGGTATCACACAGGTCCGTGATCTGCAGGTAAAAGATGTCCTTTTAAAACGCGGAACGCGAGGTATATATATTAGGGACAAACCCTGCTCTCGTGGGTGTCTAAACATTTTTCGTACCTTTGCTAGTTCCTGGTAGCAAAAAACTCTAGTATATGGCTGTGAGCATGCCTGGCAATAAATAGTGGAGGTTCAGGCAAACGACCACACGTTGTGGTTGTGTATCTTCTCAATATCTGTCGCCATCGCAGGTGTAGAGCGTTATGTTTTTCTGTGTTTGGATGTACGCAGTATGTCATGGCAACCACAATGCTTAGTCATATACCAAGCCAATTTCTGGACATTCCAAGGTCAAACCTCCGGACCAATTAAATTGCAGTTAGATTATTGGGGGGTGGAACGCTCAGCGGAAACGTTGGAAATATGGCGCCTTCTATTCTCAGCTCTCTAGATTGCGTTAAGATGTAAACTATTAATCCATTTTATCTTTCATCCAATTTGCTGAGCTTCTTTTCCATTATAAACTCACAGCACGTTGAAGTTAGTAGAAAAACGTTCCTACTAGCCATGACCCGCTAAGCACTTCCTAGCTAGGGTAATGCTCTCTTGCGTATTTTGTAAATACCTAGGTAGTTAACGCATCGCTTTAAGGCTGCATTTATAGCATTCATACTGTAGATATATAGTTAAAGTGTATAAAATTAGCTGAATAATCGCCTGCATATACCATGTTTATCCCGAGAAGCAATCCGGTAAGGGCGAAGTGGAACTCCCAATTGCCCATCGTGACGCATATCCAACCTTCGAAACCACAAAAAGAAAGCAAACCAAGGAGCCTGCCATAACCCCGATCACATTAACTTCCGAGGATACGTGTATATTCCTCTACCACTTAGATACCGAGAACGTGAAGCTGTAATGATAGACACAGGTCTAAATTTAAAGGGGGTTTGGCAATCTGAATTCTCAATCAAAGCGACAGAAAACACCAACCTACCAATATATCCCAAGTACATTAGACATCTCCAATAACATCCTTGAAAAGCTCAGGCACAATCATGCTTGCATCGCCCTGGAAAAACCAATCCCCAGGCCGCATCCCGGCTGGAGGCGTGTCGCTACTATCCATATTAATAACTGCCACACGCGCCCTTTTTTCGCGTGCCATCTCCACATATCCCGCAGCAGGGAAAACCTGCGCCGTGGTCCCGATGACAAGCATAAGATCAATCGTATCCGCATCCTCAATCCACTTATCAACATACTCTAGAGTCTTAGTTGGGAGCGATTCGCCAAACCATACCACGTCCGGCCGGAGGATATTGTTCTTGCATTGGGGGCACTGGGGTAGGTCCGCGAATGTGACGCGTGGAATGGGTACGTCTGCGTTGGAGATATCGAGCTCTACGCCCTCCGTATGTGCTGCGGTTGCTGTCTCCCCTGCTGAGGGATGAGGCTCGCCTTTCCATTCCATGGCAGTATAAAGAGACTTGGTAGCCTCTTCGCCTGTCTTGTCGTGTGCGGAGGGGACGGGTTCAGGAGCAGCTTTCGGGATATCAAGTACTGGCACGATGGGGTCATTGTAATCCTCTCTACTGTAATCACAGGAGGGAGAGGCGCACTTTACGTCGAAGAGGGAGCCATGGAGGACGTGGAGTTGGGATGGCGGATGGTTAGCTCGTGTGGAAAGGCCTATGTATTGAATTGTGCGCAACTGTTAACACTCACAGTCACTTTAACTAAGAACATACTCCGTACACAATGTATATGGCATATTAAAATTCCCACATGGTCATACCATCTACATTCTGGGTCAAAGTAATGAAATTGGGATTCCTTCTTGCCAACTCGGCGAGAGCGAAATGTGCTCTATTCGGTTTCGCTTTCAGAGCCATATGTCGTCTATAGCTGTAGAATTGCCAAACGAAGCCTGGATTCGCCTTAAAAGCCCCTGGGGTCGCGAGTGAGCTCGCAGGATAGGACCGCCATACCCCGCCAGCACCACGGAATGTTGGAAGGCCTGATGCAGCCGAAAGGCCGGCTCCAAGAAGGGCCACCACATTTCTAGAGTTCTGAAGATACTCCGAGAATGATCGTCTCTCCGACTCAGACAGGATCGACGGCTGAATTGCGGCAGCCATGCTCTAGGTTTGGGAGGTTTGGGAAGTTGAGGTTTGAAATGCGGGGTTTGGGGGCGGGACACTGAAGCTCAGAGATATATGGAAACAGGCTCTGGTGATATAAGTAGAGGAAATTATTCCTTTGTTCCGAACTACTCTCCTCTCATGAAACGCAGGATGAATGAAGATAGCAAAAATACCAACTGCATGGGACCTGATTCCGAGTTATTGGCATGGAGAAGGGAGGCTGGCTTGGACCTTCTGTACGGATTAGCTCTAGTGGAGTTTGCGGCTTGGCTTGCTGCGATATGTCCATATATGGACGATCCGAGGCCTTTAACTGGTCACTGGTCTGGTTGGTTTAACTAACTAACTGCCCGCTCCGCTCCCGTCAAAATATTTATCTCCCAATTTACCTAACAAGACGGTCACTGCCGGCGAAGCTGTGAACTCATTTAGAATCCAGACAGGTTCATACATTTCAATTCAAAACCATTATGAAGGATATTTATTCTCACTCTTAATTGCTGTGGAAGTAGTTATACGTTATGCAAGCCTACCCATTAATCTATACACAGTACGCTGTGGTGTCCATTTCTAGCCCCTATTTACTCCGTAGACTGCCTTCTTGCATATTTATAAACATATATATACCTATGTTTTTTTCTAAAAAAAAACCAACACAACATTAATGTTTCTCTTTCTTTGGCAACCCAGCCACCGCAGCGCCACGAGCATACGCCTTATTCCTCCCATTAACCTTCTCTATAAACCTCTTAATATGCTCCGGAACCTCTTCCACCTCATTCTCCGGTGCGGGAATCGGCTCCCCCATCTCCTGCCAAACAGGTACCACTCCCGTCCATACTCTGCTTGTAAGCTCTTTATCCTCACGGTCGTCCGTATCGTCCGACGGACCACCATCCCTGATCTTCCCACTGCCATCCACAATCCTCACCCGTAGTATCGACGTCGACGTCATTTCTACCTTGTTGGGCGGCACGCGCGTATTATCATAGCGATTCTCCACGACGCCGTCGGTCACTATTTTCATGGCCCAGTGCTTTTCCGCCTCGTCTGTGACAACTTGGGCGTACCCATGCAGTATGGCTGAGCGGTAATTGTAGCTGTGCGAGTTAGGGGTGAGGGAGAGGATGAAGCCATCCACGTGTGCGGCGGAGATGCAGACTGGGAGCCCCGGGTTCTCGCCCTCGCCGTTGGTAGCTCGAGCAAGATTCATGATTCGCGAACTGACGTAGCCATGCAGGTAGCAGTCCAGAGGCTCATTTATGTCTGCGGACGGATATTCGAATGAGCCCATCTGGCCAATCATGGGAAGGACGGCCGGGAATGGATCGTCAGGGCCTGCGGGAAAGGCAACATGTAGGACGGCAGATTCATTGACAATGGAGTGAATTTGGCCCAAGTCGTAGGTTCCTGGATCTTACGTATTAATTGATGGCTGCTGTCGGGGAGTAGAGGTATGTATGAATCTCTGTGGAAATAGGGTCTGTATGGAGGGAAGCCTACCCCGGTGTTTGTACCGGTTCAATGCGCTCCTGGGGAGTTTTGGATAAACCAGTGACTTCCCCATTGTCTCAATTGTTCCAAACCTGGTACTGTGACGCGATGGCGTAGCTTCAAACGTGATATAGGTATATACCCTTCGATATATACAAGAGAGGTAACAGCTGGATAAAGGCACTCTTTTCGGCACGGAGTATCCAAAATGCTTATCAAGGATTGTATAGATTCAGAGCAGGACGGACTGAATCACGGAAGAATTGGAAACCCAGAAAAGCTGAGGAGACTACTCAGCCTTAAATGTTTTTGCTCGTTTGTGTATGACTCCTCTGGTTGGAGGGGCAAGTCTGGGCTTGTTATTCCAGGGCTACCACCGGCGCACTTTTTGACAAACCCGCCACTAATTTTTGACGTTGACCGATGCTTTGCGCCCTTCCACTAGCTACTAATCATCAATAATGGAAAGCCACTGCCGTATTCTAAAACGTGTGGGGGGACGTTTTCGGTTTTCACAGCCTATCGGCGGCGGATTTGCGACTGAAGAATAATAGCCTCGTATTCGGCGCCATGACGATGAGCTCTTCCAACGCACGCAAAAATTCTCGAGCAAACGAGGCACGGATCAAAATTCATGCAAACTTAGAGTAGTTATATGAGTGATGTTATGGCTGTCTATTTAGGTCCGTCGGCCGATATACAGTAATGTACTGTACATTGTACAGTCCATGCATGTGCCAGAAGCACATCCCTTTTGGGGAGGATGCAAATGTCAATCCTCCACAACCTCCACAACCTCCACAACCTCCACAACAACCCATTTAACAGTCCATGCTGGCTCTCCCTCCTCCCAGTTTCCACATCACCCTCCGACTGACTTTATTTTGCAGTGAAACATCGGCAAATACCCACCCTTGGTCACTATTCATCCTCTCCCTTGCCTATCCCACCGCTGTCAAATCTAGATCTAGATCTAGATCTAGCTGTAAACACCCCTTCCTCCCCCATCGCTAGCTTCATTACCTCCCTCCCGATAGCTCTCGCCAATCCGTGTCCGTAGTGTCCCTCCTCCACATGGAGGGTACACAAACTCCCATCCAGCCCTAGAAAAAGCCCATGCCACAGGCATTTCCCCTGAGGCATAGTCAGGGGCCCTGTTGGCCGTACCCCCGGGACAAGAAGAGCTTGTATCATTAGCACCTCCATCGTAGTAGACCGCTACACTATGATTTTGCTCTAAGATCTCCTTCGACCGCACCTTCGACCGCGGGATATCGGTGCGACTAAGCACCAGATCCCCCTGTTGCGCCTGGACTCCCACACGACGCTTGAGGTCGTGGAACCGGTACCCTTGGGGAAGGCCACTATCACTATCATTAATCTCAGATGCACTCCCGTGTTCTTTACACGGTGGATCGTATGTAGACCGGTGGAAAATATATTTTATGTAAACTCCAGAATCGTGGGGAGGGATGCGGATTCTTGGTAAATGTGGTGGTATCTTCTCAGGGCCAGTCATCGTGGCCTGTAACAGATCGTAGATGTCTGTATGCAAGGTGCCAAACATGAATGATGTCGATGGATGGGGCGGAATCTTTTTAACGGATTTGCCGTGAAATGGA